TGAATTAGGTTGGCTGCTTAAAAATGCAGCCCGAACAAACTGGTCCTTTATAGCTAGGGATAAATAATCACTTTGCTGCCTCTGTTTATGTGCAGAGAAACAGAACCTATCAGATTCATTGGATGCCCTCTTCAAGAAAAGGACACTTAAGGTCATTCAGAATAAGACAACTGGGCATTCCTTCACAAAGCCTACATTGCATTGTCATGTTGGAAGGCAAAGCATTGTTTGTCCTGTATCATAGTTACCCCAGCTGATTATTTCATTCAAAGCCAGGGTATTTGAGTGGCAAAATAAGGACCTGGAATATTACTTTGACATGGTGCATGCCTCTAATTTACTGGGATGTGTGTGTGTGAGGGGGAGTAAAAGATGAGTACTAAGGAAGAAGAGAGAGCCTTCTCCCACCCTCCACCCCCACCCCACCGTCCCTGTTAATCCTCTGCTGGAAACGACAACAATCAATTCCCCTTCGGCAGCTGTTTTGTTCTTCAAATACACAATCATTTTTTCAAACTGATGAAGAAGGGAAGAACGCATTAGTTTTTCAACCAGATCAGTTTATGGGAATAAAGCAAGTTCTGTGATGCAAAGACAACATGGCAGAATGCCGTTTACCCAAACACCTCCAGATTTCCTATTCCTCCCCTCACCCCCTGCTTTTAGTGTTCTTCTTTCTTTTCTTTTTCCTCCTTAGAAAAGGGGTTAAAATTAGTAGGCACATTTCATATTAGTGTATTTTATGCAATAAAGCATAAATTATTTAAAATAACACGACCTTTTATCTTGCACCTTTTGAAGGAAGCAAATTAAAAATGTAAATTGGGAGCTAATTAATATGCAAATGTATTCATTCGCAGTTAACAATTAGCAATTAAACCTGCAGTGTCTACAAAGAGCACGGACAAAATTAGTAACTTAATTTATCATTAAAAAATGAAAACGTACACAAAATTTTAATTGACTTTCAAAATATTTCCCCTGCTTTTCCCTTTCATTTTTTAATAAAAAATAATTATAATCACAGTTATATGGATGAAACTCCACATACCTACAGATTTCTGAGGAAGTTCTTAGGGAGGGATGATGCAAGGAAAAGTTTCCCTTAAAAGATGACACTGAAGAGGATTTTTTTTGGGGGGAGGGAAGACAGCGAAGAGTGTTTGCTGGTTGTTAATTTGTGGTGTGGAGTGAGGGATGTATAGATTTTGGGTGTGTGTTACTATCCATTTGTAGTCTACATGTGCATTAAATATGCCCCAGCGGTATTCTTTGCTTGTGGTTTAGTGCTTGATCATGCTTCAATTAACGAAAAAAATCAAACACATACAAAATGAACAGAAAATGAAGAACTGCAGAACCTTAACAAGACTGCAGCCGCATGCTCATTTACTGAGAAGTCAGCCCAATTGAACATGGTGAGACTTACTCCTGAGGAGGCAAGCATGATATCAGGCTAAACCCTATACTTTATATGTAGAGATATTTTTTTGCATTACGTTCAGCTGTGAGTTTAGTGTAATGGCATTTGGCTTCTATTTTCTGTTTGTTAATCACTACCCCCGTTTCCTCACAAGGCTTTCTTCGGGGCAGCACTCTGAGGACTGCAGTGAGAATAATTTAAGTATGTTTGTGTGCACACTGCCCCCGTCTGACCACACACACATACAGATTAAATTAGTCACCCGTGTACTCTCCCACAGAAAGCCACAGGCAAATCAATGGGCTGATCAATGGACGATGATTTGAGAATCGGCCCCCTTTCCAATACATTGCAATTCAGACCTGGGCAAATACAGTGACATTAAGAATCACATTTAATATCACCCCCTAAACACATCCCAATAATTCACATCCCAATAATTCACACACACCCTAAACACATCCCAATAATTCACACATCCCAATAATTCTGCTAGGTTTCTGTGAAAAAAATTTTTTTGACTGGATTTTATTTCCAAAATGCCCACAGAAACTGGGTTTGTGAGGAGGACTCCCTTGACACCAATGAAACCAGCCTAAGAGAAGGCAAAGAGGCATTCTTGCTGCAATTCCTGCACAATAAAACAGCAAGTATTCTAACAGCAACACATATGACTCAGCTCCATTCAGAATACTCTGTGTAGTTCAGATCATTGTATCTCAAAAGAAAGAAAGAAAGGTATCACATCCCTGGAGAAGATGTGGGGGGGGAAGGTAAGTTAAATGGTTAGGGGGTAGGAGCACCTCTCGCTTGAAGAACACCTGAAGTAGCTGGTACTTTTTGGCTCAGGGAAAAGTAATCATATACAGCTTGGTCCTTTCTTTGCATGTCTGAAGCAAGTCCCAATACAATTTGCAGGTCTTCCAGCCAAATACCAGGTGGTCCTTTACCATGCAGATATCCTGAAGTGTTAACTTCAGAGAGCCAGTGTGGTGTAGTGGTTAAGAGTGGTAGTCTTGTAATCTGGGGAACCGGGTTCTCTTCCCCGCTCCTCCACATGCAGCTGCTGGGTGACCTTGGGCTAGTCACACTTCTTTGAAGTCTCTCAGCCCCACTCACCTCACAGAGTGTTTGTTGTGGGGGAGGAAGGGAAAGGAGAATGTTAGCCGCTTTGAGACTCCTTCGGGTAGTGATAAAGCGGGATATCAAATCCAAACTCTTCTCTTCTTAACCGGACTCACAGCGCGAGTGCCTGATTGTGCAAAGGCACAAATCCTCCATCTGCAAAAAGGGGACCTTGATATGACTGGGTGCTCACACTGCAGACCTGGTTCACGGTGGGGGCTATATGCATAGGGGACGAGAGGGTCACAGAGGACAGCCATGCTCTTGCAGCACCACCTCTGACTGAGCGAGTGCAAAAGCAAGAACTTGGCACAAGGTGTACAGTTTAATTAATGGAATTCATCCAGAATGTGCTGACAGTTGCTATCTGGTGTGGCCACATGTCCTACTGCACAGAGTGCAGTCCTCTATCTGAAGGGCCGTCGGGGACACTAGAACCACCAGAAGGGACAGCAGGGGTCTTGGGGTTTTCAGCACCCGGACAGCAGGCGCACAGGTCAGCTGGTCATGCTAGGGAGAGATGCATTGCATTTCTATTTAAATTACAGTATTTCTAACTTCATGTCTCTGCTAGTAAATTAGCATATACGGTTGTTGTCCTCTTTTTTTGGCAATGCATTTCTGTGGCGTTTGCCCTCCTAGGTGTGTGACATCATACTGGGTTCATAAGGAAAGGGTTAACTGATTGTAAAATGACTAACCTATAGGAACCCAAGGGGAGGAGTTAGAGTTAGAGTTAGGGTGGTTGAGAAGACAGTCTGGAGTTAGAAGAGACAGAGAGGATAAGTCTGTGGGTTGGGCTAGTTAATGTTTATAAAATAAACTTGTTTATTTGGTTCGCTTTTACCAACTGTCTGGACTCAGTGTTTTACCCGAGAGTAACGGGTTGGTGGCAGCGGGGAAACGAGCACAGTGGTGGCACAGGGATCAACAGACAGTTAAACGTCCGGGGACCCTGTGTGATTGCCACAATTTCCTTTTTTAAAAAAAACTTTTTTGTGATGCTTATTGCAACCTAGCATAGAAGAAGTCCAGGACTGCACAGGGTTGGGCTAAATGACCCTTGTGGTCCCTTCCAACTCTACAAATCTACGAAACTATAAACCCAATAAATGTAAGGCAGATAGGCCTCTCTCTCTTAAAAAGCTGCTGCTTTTTCGGAACAAAAATTTCCTGTTGATCCCAGATTTTCCCACATCTTTCTAAATTTGTGCCGGCTCTTCTTCACACACACCAGACCACCATTTTTTTAATTGCTTATCTATATATAGAAATTATAATCGTTGAAAAAAGAAGGGGTTTTTGTATCATGGTCGTTGGGTTCCACCAGGTGGCAATGAGCAGTTTAATTGGTTTGAACGTCAGGATGTGGGTCAAAAGTGCTGAAACGAGACTATGTTGACGACTCACTAATGGGCATCAGTAGCAATGAATTATAATGCAGATGTAGAGTGTGCAGAAGGTCCCAGGTTCATTAATGTGCATCTCCAATTAAGTGGTCAGATAGTGGGAAAGACCTCTGCCGGAGAAACTCCCCACCAATACTGGGCTAGTTGAAGATAGGAAGCTGCCTTTATACAGAGTTAGACCACTGGTCTATCTAGGTCAACAACTTTCCAGCATTTCAGACAGGAGACACTCCCAGTCCCATATGGAGATGCTGGAGATTGAATCTAGATACTTTGATTGAAAGCAGATATTTTGGCACTGTGCTAAGGCCCAGATTGGTCGGGAAGTATATAGGAAGTCTAAGGCAGCTTCCCCTGTTATGTATGAATAATGAGAACTGAATTTGCTTTTAGGAGAGCAGAGATAGTTCCAGCATGATTGTAGCTTAAGTGGACGTAGGATCTGATTCCAGGGTCTATAAACAATCAGACTGGAGGAACTGGCACACTCAGGACTAGGTTAAAAATAAAACGTGTTTGCTTCAACTCGCTTGTAGAGATAATCTCAGAGGTTATAAAGGGGGGGGAATGATAACAACAAGAAGATTGGAAGACGGGATTTGTAAAGGATAACAACAAAGAGATGGAAAGATGGGACTTGTGAACATCAAAGCAGCAGAAATATGAGATGATTGGACCCTTTCTGAACTCGAAGCATGGGTACCCCCAACAAAAATTTAAAATTCGGCTAAATATTTTGAGTTTATTATGTATTGGTATGATTTGGAATTAATGTGATATGATTGGTTTGTCAATTGGAAATTTAATAAAAATTATTTTTAAAATAATAAAAAATAAAAATAAAACGAGACAGATCAACTGCGAGGACAAGGCACTGAAAGTGGACCCAGGGACATAAAGCAAGATGAGCAGGTTGCAGTAAAACAAAAACAGGTATTCAATGCAGGCTGTAGGTTTAGCAAAAGGCTCAGGGGGAGTACAGGGTAAGAAAAAGCAGCAGATTTCTGGGTACAGGTGTGTCTACCTGGGAAGCAAAGGTTTTGATGATCCACAGCCAGGTTGCTCTGCAATGGAATTTTGCAGACTTGACAGCCAACAGCCTCTTCCTGCTTCCCACTGTTGAAGACAACGGGACGACTGGAGTCAATGAGGCCCAGAACCAAACAATCCCTTCAGTTCAGGTATGTTAAGCAGAGCTAGTGACTGGTGAGGACCTGACAGTGATCCCCTGAGCTGCAAGGCTGGAAATAAAAATTTATAGAGTTGGTGGTACATAGCTGCTGGGACCTCATGAAGCCTAGAAGATTTTCTGGAAGCACCTTTCCATTTTATCTCAGTTGCAATGTGACACTTGCACAGGGTTTGCTGGTAATGGTTTCCCTGTGCATACTCCATACCTTGCTGCTACCCGTCGTACAAACGCCTCCCTTGTGGTTTTCCACAGCTGAGTGAATAGGCATCATCCCCATTTTTTATGAGGAACTGAAGAAGTTGTCAGTGGTGTGGACCATAGGCTGAAACATTATTCCTGCAGGCCTGAAAATTTTCTTGGTGCATCCAGTGAGATGACACCTGATAGAGAGTAGCTGTGTTTCCAGAGAGCACACTGCTCTGCCAGGAAGCAGTGGAAGGTGATTTGGACAAAGCAGGCCACCAGTGACCATATTAAGCTGCTTTACACTGACTTTAAACATTCCTCTTTTTCTAGGCCTTCGGTTAATTAAGCAGTCTGTGGACTTTTAAACTGGGCGGAAGGGTGTGTGTGTATGTGTGTGTGTTTCTATGTTATGTATTTTTGTGTTTTTATATTGTAAACTGCTTTGTGATCCTCTGATGAAGGGCGGTATAGAAAATATAATAATAATAATAATAATAATAATAATAATAATAATAATAATAATATAATCAGGCTGTTACCTGTATTCTTGATCCTCATTACAAGATTGTATATAAAAATGTATGTACAGTGGTACCTAGGGTTAAGAACTTAACTCGTTCTGGAGGTCCATTCTTAACCTGAAACTGAAGCTAATGAGGCCTCCAGCTACTGCTGCGCTGCCGGAGCATGATTTCTGTTCTCATCCTGAAGCAAAGTTCTTAACCCGAGGTACTATTTCTAGATTAGCAGAGTCTGTAACCTGAAGCGTCTGTAACCTGAAGTGTCTGTAACCCAAGGTACCACTGTATTACAAGAAATTTGCAATGAGATGTAGGTGAATTTTCATTATAACTTAAAAATCACAAACTGATGTGGAAATGTGGAGAACTGAAGACTGGATTTTATTTTTTAAGAAACTGAGAGAAACCAAAATGGAACAGACTGACCCATCCCTAATTTCTACTTTATACCAACTGAAGACTTGTAGCATGAGAAGTAATTTTTCTTTCCTTATTGAACTGAACAGATCGCTGAACTTTAAGAGTCAGATTTTTTCTTTTCTTCATTATTATTATTATTATTATTATTATTATTATTATTATTATTATCATTATCTCTTTTGAAGAAAATTGGAAAGCTGTGTTGGGAAACGATATATGTTGCAAGGCATTTTTAATTGTGTTACTGTATTTTTGCCCTGTATTTTGTATTCAGGAATAAAAAAAGGAAGTTTAAAGAAATACATGTTTGGTTACATGCCCCACATATATAGAAACATGTGTCTACAGGACAGGACAGCATCTAAGATAATCACTAATCGCTGAGTTGTTTACATTTTTGCATTGAATAAAAGCACACAACCACAAAGAGAAAGTGATAAAATTATGTTTTGACTGAAGATATGTTAACTTGCTGTCACTTCCCTTGTGGAACATACATCTTACCTATTAGAACTGATTCAGCAAATCTTAGGTGATTCATTGTATGGTTTCTAATAGATTAATTAATTGATGTGTGGCTCCCTCGTGCAAAGAGAAGAAAGATCCACTGGGTTCAATCCTGCACATGGGAGTAAGTCCCATTTGGTGGGTCTTAGTTATGAAGAGAAGTTTGAACTGTAAATAGGATACATTCTATTTACTTATTAATAAAACAATATTTTAGAAGGAAAAGACCCTATTTCTTTGGGTGGTGCCTTCACATCACTGGAAGGGCTTGCGATCAGTCTACAAAATGAAGAAGAGGTAAAATACTGCAGTCCTCCCACAACCTCCCACCTTTTTCAGGAAAGTCCTTCAATTCTCTGAAACGGATTTGCCGTGTGTGCTTGCGGGCGGGAGGCGAGGGGAGGGGAATCTACAATAAACATGTCTCCTCCTACTATAGTAGCAGATGCCTCCACTGGATCAAAAGTCTCTTCGTGGGCATAGTAGTTGCGTTACACTCATTGCATGTGACTTGGGTGTTCCTTCCCATGAGAAAATGAAGTAGGAACACCTCTTCCAAGGCAGTGCACACGGCCTGCATTTTTGTAAATATATGTATTTTAAAATCACATGCACCCTTTGCTGTGTGGTCGACTTGGTACTGCTTTAATTGATCCAAAAGATTTATTTATATTACATTACATTTGCAGCCTTTTACCTGGCACTGCTCAGGAAGAAACAAACAAACAAACAGATGAAATCAGTGGTTAAAACCAGAGCAGTCTTAAAAGATTCAGCCCACCATCTTGATTCAAAATGGTGTGTCCAGATGTTTCCAGAACGAGACAAAAACCTGCTTTTTGACTGCAGGAACCATTCTACAAAATTTGGTTATTATATCTTAAGAGGTGTCCAAATGCATCACAAACAGGTGAACAACACACACACACACACACACACACACACACACACACACACGCAATTTATATCTGGGCCTTTCTCAAATGTCCCAGGGTGGAAATGCATATGTAAATACGAAAGTTAAGACAATAATACTAAAACAGGCAAGCATGAATTCCATGCAAAATTCCAAATACATTGTAGCAGCCATGATAATCCAATCTAATATACCCCACCCTTCCCTGAAAGCTTGAGGTGTGTCTTCAGCTAATGACAGCATGGCAACAACGTTGTGGTGAGATGCAGTTCAGAAGGGGAGGTCATTCCATAGACTTGAAGCCACTGCCAAGAGACCCCATCCAAGGGTCTCCACCCCAGAGATCTCATTGGATATATATGGACCACTAACAGGATCCTGGAAGGCAAAACGGGATTGTAAATCTGCATCTGTACTGGAATTGTTTTAGATGTTACAATTGTTATATTGTTCTTGTGTTTGCCGCACCGAGCTCATTTGAGAGGAAGGATGAGGGAGAAATTTAATAATAATAATAATAATAATAATAATAATAATATGCTTAATCCAATTGATGAGATTTTGCTTACTCCCCTCCTGTCTATAGATCCCTGTCTGTAGATAAGCAGATAGGAAATCAAAGCACATAGATCTCTAGATACTGCAGGTAGCAATTATGTCTTACAAGCAAATAGGCAAAGGGAATAAACACCATCTATTTTTGTATTTCACGTGGCGTGCTTAAAATTTTCCATACGACAGGGAAGGAAGAGAAAGAGCTTATCAAATGAAAACAATAATGCACATTGCATATATTTCAAAGCATCCTTTGCTAGGGCATGTTGAGTGATTGTTTTAATACACATAGCAGCAATAAAATATAGATGTTTCACACTGGTATAGATTATTTATTGATCTCATTCTGTGTTACTAAATAGATACTGTAGTAATGGTCATTGAGAAATACATACTTGTCCACTGACACATGTTTATACAAAATGTCACATATGCGGTGCCAAAATATAACTAAGCATTCCTGAGAACAGCTGGGAATACTATTTTTTTTTAGGGTGTTGAAATAATACCATACTCATTCTGTTTTGCTTTTTTTTAAAAAAAAACTTTCCTTTATCACTCTGGTCCTGCAGTGTGAAAATGCTCCCCCCTCCCATTCTCCTGTAGATGCAAATGTAATTTTTAACACATTTCTCCAGTAGAAAAGTTATTTTATCAAAACACAGCATTGATGTTAAGCTGCAACCTCTTACCCAGCACAGTGTTTTAAAGAACTTAATGGCTTTCTCCATGTTTTTAATGGCTGCAATATTATGCAGCTAACAAACAATTTCAGAATTAAGTTGCCACAATTAGGAATTAGAAGCAGGTGGCTCAATAATGGTGCTTTTTCATTTCATTTATTAGGAGGAGGGGGGGAGGGAGGAAAAAGCTTCTCTCTCCCCCCCCAAAAAAACAACACAGAGCTTTAGTTATTTTCATCAACTCTACAGTAAGAGCATGTAAGCAATTTGCAAGACCCAAATCATTTCAAGTACAGCTTCACGCCCGTCGTTCATTCTCTGGAGTTTTTAAAAGCTACTTTGCAGCCAGCCCAAATTTGAAAAGATAATTTATTCCCAGTTTCGCAGGTACAAATATTTATTTATTTGGTTGGTACATTTCTTTCAATTATAAGATTTCTTACCCACCCTTCACCGTAAGCTCCCACGGTGGGTTACGACAATAGAATATACAATTGTGTTTTTTAAAAAACAGCCTAAAACCATTTGCAATTATATATTTTAAAAAACCACACACATAAAAAGCATTCAAAATGAAACAAAACAATATGGACAGGAGCTAGTAAGATGCTGTTTAACAACACTATGTTTGCCTTAAAAAAACAAAACAAAAAAACAACTATATTTTTCTAAGGGAACAGATGGATTGCATTTCCTCTGCTGGGTGATCCCTGAGGTAGGTGTCTGCGTGTGTGTACAGATCTATACGTGTGTGTGTAAGTATGTGTCTTAAAACCTCACAAACAAGCACATAACAACATGCCCCCAAAGTCTGTTTCAATCTTTCTTGCTTCCTTTCCTTTGCCCATTTACAAAAAAAAAGGGTGTTAGGCTGCTGCTGCTGTTCCCACAGGGTTCAGTGTTAAAAAGGAGACATTAAGCGAAAAATGTTATTGATAAACACACCATTTATGTAAGTAGATTCTTGTGCTCAAAAACATTAAACCGTGCAGCCTGCCTCCTTCCTCCCCTCTCTCTTCACATCCATTCCTTCTGCACAAGGCTGGGAGCTGTGACCCTGGCACACCCTCTAGCGGCGAAGTTCAGCAAAACAACCTCTCTTTCCTTAGCCCCCTTTCTCGCCGAATGTGGGATTTGCGTGAGCCAAAGCTGAATGGCAAAGCCTGTCCCCCCGGAGAGACATTTTGAGACCTAAGGAAGAGAGAAATCCCGTCTCTTCCTGTCCCGTTAGCGTTGCCAGGTTGCTTTTGCAAAAGCCTGTTCCTTAGCTAAAGGTTTCTTGTTTTTCCCATCTGAAGTTCAGCTCTTCCCATTTCCACATCAGTTGGTGAATTTTGTTTTTTTAAAAAAGCAAGTCCTTGTGATAATTCATTGGTGCTTTAGCGTGAATTTATCCTGGCATGCACTCCTTTGTTGGCAATTTTGCCTTACAAAATACGTTTTTCTATGCTAGTTTCATGCACATTTAAATGCACACTTTCCCATCGTATAAGCATTTGCGTAAACATTACTTGGCTGGAGAACTGCATTGCAAAATTCGGAGAAATGTGAATTTCAAAGGGTGGCCGTGTTCTGGTCTGCATATTGTTTCGGGAGGTGGAAATTAGATAGGTTTGCCTCTAAATGTGAACTGAACTTCTCCATCTCTAACTGTGTAATCTTCAGTAGATCAGCAAGGGGTTGTTGTTGTTGTTTCTACTCCCAATGGTTTAACAACAGCGACAACAAAACTGCTTTTCCCATCTAGGCTGTTGAAATGAAAAACGCTAATCAAGAATAGACATTTAAATGAGAGCTAGCTCAGTTCAGTTCTTGTACTGAAAAAATATTCCCTAGGCTCAGAGGGGGCACCTTCTTTAATTCCCGCTTTTGCACCAGTCTTTGTGGTAGATCTTGGGGTTTCTTGGGTGGGGTGTGGGAGATCCAACAAGCCTGAAGTCTGCTTAAAAGGTAAAGGGACCCCTGACCATTAGGTCCAGTCGTGGCCGACTCTGGGGTTGCGGCACTCATCTCGCTTTATTGGCTGAGGGAGCCGGCGTACAGCTTCCAGGTCATGCGGCCAGCATGACTAACCATGGCGAACCAGAGCAGCATATGGAAACGCTGTTTACCTTCCTGCTGGAGCGGTACCTATTTATCTACTTGCACTTTGACGTGCTTTCGAACTGCTAGGTTGGCAGGAGCTGGGACCAAGCAATGGGAGCTCACCCCGTCACGGGGATTTGAACCACCGACCTTCTGGTCGGCAAGTCCTAGGCTCTGTGGTTTAACCCACAATGCCACAAGTCTGCTTACCCCTGGTTTAAAGGACTTTCCTTTATCCCACAAAATCCCTATGCCTCTGGGAGACATGTTGGCTTTACATTGGAGAAGTACAGCAGACACACACACACACACACACACACACACACACACACACACACAGTTCAATGGGATCCAATTGCTCTCTTGCAGACTATAGGAGCAATCCTATACACAAGAAGCTGGTATACAGTTACACTAGTTCCAAACCCCATTCAGCAGTGGGGCTCTACCTAAGCCTGGCAGAGGCAAAACAAGTCTTCAAAACAGTGTTCAACACCAGGTCACCAAGTCACGTGACCAAGCTGCTTGGGTTTAGGATCCTAATTCTCCCATCTCTGCTCCCACCATGCACACTCCCGGAACACTCCTGTGGGGGAACTTCTGCAAAGATTGATTTGCAGAAGCCACTCCCATCTAGAAGCCTCTGCTATGGGGGGGGAGGACTCCTTCTGTGAACAAACGGGAGCCTTTGGGCAGTGGCAAACTTTGGTAATCTTTTGTAATATGGTGCCCTGTGTGAGGCCAACATTTGACACCCCCAAATGGATCTTCTCAATATTGTGCCCCTCGATTCAGTGCCCTATGTGTGTGTATGGGGGGGACCGCCCGCAATACCCTAAATCCAGTGCTGTTTTGGGTCTATCCCATCATCATTTCCTCGGCAGGAGGACTCCCTGCTGAGGGCCTGAAAGACCCTGCCCATGCCTCTTTCCACTTGGCTTGGGGCAGGGCTTGACAGGCTTCACAAGGACTGCAGCTGTTTTTAAAAAGTTTTTAATTTTTATCTGTGTTGTTTTAAATGAGACCATCTTGGCTGTGAGCCCTGGAAGACCTGCACCCTGCCTTGGTGGCCCTTTCCCATCCGGCCTGGGAGAGTGGGGTGCTGACGGACTCCAGCTACAAAAGCTGAAGCTGTTGAACAGATTCATGGGCTGGAGTATTGTTTAGAGAGTATTGTTGAGAGAGCTGTTGCTGTTATTGATATTATTGTTGTATCTTTAGTTTTAGATCTTATGATTTACGTGGAAATTGTTTCCATTTGGTTGTGTACTTTTTGATGTGTTTTATTTATTGTTTATGACTTCGGCTATGTTTGTAATTATGTAAATCTTGTCATGTTGTCAACCGCCTTGAGCACAGTTTCAAATATGGAAAGGCGGCATACAAATGATGGTGATGATTTCCTTCCAGAGTTACAAGGCTGCTGAAAATTTGATGCCACAGATCAACCTGTGTTATGCTTCCAACATGCCTGCTGTGATGGCCTGGGATTCGGACTCGGAGGCTGAACCTGAGGAATCCCAGCCTGCACAGGATTCCCCGCCTCCAGTACCAGCTGAGCCGGGGCTGGGGCTTGAGCCTGAAGGGTCCTCACCTGTGCTGGATCCTCAGGTGCAGGCACCAGCTGAGTCTGCTCTGGCTCCTGAGGTGATGGAGGACCCATTGCCTGCAGGTGCTTCACTCTCAGCCCCGTCAGGGAAAGAGGAGGTTGCCTCTGGGTCTGGTAACCCTCCAGCCTCTTCTGAGCTGCAGAGGCTCAGGGCAGAGAGACGGAGGGAACTAAGTTCCCGCAGAAGGAGTGCTCGCCTCCAGGCCAAGAGAGGCGAGTCACCTGTGGACTGGGGCCGCCCTATGCCCTGGGGCAGATAAAAGCCAGTCAGCCCTTGTCCCAAGTTGTGGGTAGCCAGTTCCTGCCTGCACCCTGTTCTGCCATATCTCCTGACCTTGCCTGACTCCCTGCTTTGGACCCAGCTTCAACCTTGACGGACGGCCTCAAGTCTGCACCCTCGACCTCGGGCTGGACTCAGACCACGCCTCACGGAAACCCACGGGACCAGCACACCTGCCTTCCTCTGATGTCCACTGAGTGGGGCAGAACTGGCTGTTAAAATATTTCGTTCCACCTTAAGGAACATGCATGATTGTTGTGTGTCACTTGCCTGTTTACACTCCAGCACAGCTTGCTGGGAACTTCCTTTTGTGTATAGTTTTTGCTTTTGCTGCTTGCTTTGGACAAGCAGTGGAAATGTGTCTGTATTCAAGTACTACTGGTTTGTGTGTGTGAGACTCTGGAGAATTTGGGCATTTATTGTTAATTAATTAATTAATTAATTAATTAAATGTATGTACAGTGGTGCCCCGCAAGACGAATGCCTCGCAAGATGAAAAACTCGCTAGACAAAAGGGTTTTGCGTTTTTTGAGCTGCTTCGCAAGACGAATTTCCCTATGGGCTTGATTCGCAAGACGAAAAATGAAAACGTCTTGCAAGTTTGTTTCCTTTTCTTAACACCGTTAATACAGTTGCGACTTGACTTCGAGGAGCAACTCATAGAACGCAGTGTGGTAGCCTTTTTTGAGGTTTTTGAAGACTTTGGTGATTTTTGAAGCTTTTCCAAAACTTCTTTTGCAGCCATTTGGGAAGTTAAACTTTTAAATTTTTTTTGGGGGGGGGGTTGGATTTTGGGTTGGGGTGTTTGGAATTCAAGGACTTGGTGTTGGGGAGGGGTTTGCAAGAATCTGGAAACTTGTTTTTTTTCTGCATTTTTATGATTTTCTGTGACCATTGGGCCACTCTGCTGTTTTTTAAAAAAATTCTGGATTTGAATTTCTGTGTGGTGGGTGGCTGGGGGAACAGTTGAGGAGGGGGTTCTTCAGCAAGAAGCAAAGAGTGGAAGAGGAACCTTCTTCGAGTTGTCCCCCAGAGTCTTAGAAAATGTACTGTACACTTTGTTGATTTTTAAATGTTTTTCTGTCATGTTTAGAAACTTAATTTATTGTTCCTTCAATTTTTGAAATGCTCTTTACAGTATGTGTGACTTTAAAGAGCACTTAATAAACTCTTGTTGTACCAAATTTGGCTTTGTTTGGACTTTTTTTGACCATAGGAACGCATTAATTGAATTTCAATGCATTCCTATGGGATTTCGTGCTTCGCAAGACGAAAAATTCGCTAGACAGAAAAACTCGCGGAACGAATTAATTTTGTCTTGCGAGGCACCACTGTACTGCCCTTTATCCAAGGTCACGGGTTCCCCATGCCTGCCTTACATGGAGACAACTAGTAGGGAAAAAAACATACCTACTAATTTTTCATGTCAGACTTTTTTTTTAAAGGAAGAGGGTCAGGATCAAGAGTACAGGGGATAGCCCTATATTATTATTATTATTATTATTATTATTATTATTATTATTATTATTTCTATACCACCCTTCATCCAAGGCTCACAGGACAGTAAACAACGAAAATACACAAAAACACACAGCATAGCAAAAAACAAAAACAGAAATCCTCCGCACATTTTAAAAGGCCAGAGATTGTTTAAATAGCCAAAGGCTTGGTTACTGAGGAAAGTTTTTGCCTGGTGTCTAAAGATATATAATGAAGGTGCCAGGTGAGCCTCCCTGGGGAAAACTTTCCACAAACAGGGAGCCATCGTGGAAAAGGTCCGTTCTCGTGCTGTCGCCCTCTAGGAGTCTCACGAAGGAGGCACATGAAGAAGGGCCTCAGAGGATGATCATGTTAGAATTCCTGAGTCTTGAAAGGGGTACTGGGTTTGTCCTCAAGGGATGGGGAACCACGCCCAAAGGCTGTAAGGGTAGACACTGTTTCCTCAGAGAGGAACGCGGCTAGAGTTCGAGTCCCAACAAAGCCAAGTGTGAGGCTTCCTGATAGTCAGAAGGGTTGTGGCACCAAGACTAGTCAGAAGTGCAAGATGGTAAGGCCCAAGGCTAATCCAGTTGCAGGTAGTTCCAAGGGTGGAACGGGTGATACAGGGGTATACTGTGTATATGACATCTGTATGGTTGTTGCAGTTACACTGATGACTGCAACACAGTTCATGAATTGGGGGAGGATGTTAGAATTCCTGCTCCGTGATTGCAGTCAAAGGATTGTTGTCTATCATATGACGGTGTATGTTTTGACTCCACAGAGTGGGAAGTGACGGAGACAGGATGTTTGTGTTACTCTGTTCTGTGTAGTGGGACTATTGTCCTTTGTTCTTTTCCTCTTTGCTGTCCGATGCTAGAGAGAGAGGGAGCCATGTTGCAGTGCTCCGTGTGTGTTTATATGTAAATAAAGTAGATTAGCCAAAATGCTGAGTTGCTGAGGTCTGTTACGTAAGCTGCAAAGACTCTGTGGATCCCTAAGCATGCTGGTGTCAGTTGGCATCGATTGCTGTGATGTTTGGGCTGAAGAAAGCTTCTGAAGCTCCCGAATGAGCGACCAGGAGGGAGAGAACATGCCAGTCGGGCATGTATCTCTGCCAGGGTCCTACTCGAGTGTAGGCTGAACTCCTGACAGATCAAAGGATCTGGTTCAGTTCATATGGCAGGTGAATCACATGAGAATGAGACTTAATGAACCCATGTCTGTGACCCAGCTTTAGGAATTCCAAGTTTAGGCTTTAAAGGAGCTGTGTTAATAGCAGTTGCTCCTGTTTTGCCAGGTTAAAATAGGGGCACATGCTGAACTTTGCATGGAAAGATAGTTCCTCAGAAGAGGGGGAAAGCAGCAGCAGCAGCAGAAAGAAGAGATGCTTGAGGAATTTCAGCCTCACAAATCCTGATACAAAAATACCTGATCCGTGCATCTCAGACGAATGTGTGGATCAGAGCTTGGCTGTCCACCAGATTTCACACATCTCCAAATGCTGCAGTGCAGTTTCTGGCAGTTTAAATGTACCAAAATATACATTTTAAAATGTATTTTGAGAGAAGATGTGTATTTACATATATATTAAGATATGTGTGAAAATGTGCATTTAAATACTTATTATGAGAGTATTTATTTTTTTAAAAATTGTAGATGAGTTTGGAGATGCAATGAAATTGAGAGTGAAAACATGTGAAGCTGACATGGATTGGAAACAGAAAGTCTAGGCCAGCCTTAGAAACAAGGCACTTCTACACTGAGTCCATCAGTGCATATGCAGCATGAATGAAACCTCTTCAAAGTTCACATTTCTCTAGCACCCTTAAAGGTTTGGGTTTTAAAACCAACAGCAGCATTTTGGTAACATTAGTTTGGGATATTTCCACTGCGCTAAATGAATGAAGCTGAGGCTCCAAGACTTTGGCCACCTCATGAGAAGAGAAGGCTCCCTGGAAAAGACCCTGATGTTGGGAAAGATGGAGGGCACAAGGAGAAGGGGACAGAGGATGAGATGGTTGGACAGTGTTCTCGAAGCTACCAGCATGAGTTTGACCAAACTGCGGGAGGCAGTGGAAGACAGGAGGGCCTGGCATGCTCTGGTCCATGGGGGTCACAAAGAGTCAGACACGACTAAGCGACTAAACAACAACAACAACAAATGAATGAATGAATGAATGAATGAATAATGGAGGAAAAGGAACAATCCTAATGGCACAAAAATCAATCAGTCAATCAATCAATCAATCAATCAATCAATCAATCAAATAGATTAAACTTCCTGAGAAGTCTACCATGGATATTTTTTTTAATTAAAGATTTTTTTAATTAAAGTACACGCATCATCTCCATTTTCAGATCGTAAAGTCCTTTCTGCAGATCTGTTCTATTCAGTGTGAGACTTTGATGTTGCGATTCAGTATAAGGTCGGAGCAAACTTCTGTTCTTTTACATGTTATATGTGTGAGGTTGTTGTGTCAGTGTCACATGGGTAGGTTCTCCTTCCATCCATTTATTAGTTATCATTGCATGGTTCGTTGCCTACAGCTGGCTGCAGCGAGTTTTGTTATGAATCAATATGGCTAACTTGATACCATGGAAATGTTTAGAGCACACACACTTTCTCAGAGATGTTTCGCTTAAACAGGGCGGTGTTGATGCTTATGTAACTAGCAGTAATTAATTGTGTGAGCCAGGGGTCCCCACCCATCCCAGGACCGCCCACATTGATTACGTGGGACATGTAGCTTGGGTCAAATAAGGCTACAACTCTTATTGATTACAGATGGTTTGGCAAGGCACTGGAAAACCATTTTGAGCACCTGCCTGCTTGCTGAGGTCTACCATTGTCAAGGCTTTGGGAATTTTATTCCTTCCCCGGTGGAAGCAAGAAGCAGAGAGAACAAAGTAGAGTCCTTATTAATGAGTTTATTCATTCATAACAGTGAGAGGCAAAATAATGCAGTACAGTGGTACCTCAGGTTAAGAACTTAATTCGTTCTGGAGGTCTTTTCTTAACCTGAAAATGTTCTTAACCTGAGGTACCACTTTAGCTAATGGGGCCTCCCGCTGCTCCTGTGCTGCCACTGTGCAATTTCTGTTCTCATCCTGAAGCAAGGTCCTATTTCTGGGTTAGCAGAGTCTGTAACCTGAAGTGCCTGTAACCTGAAGCGTCTGTAACCCGAGGTACCACTGTATGCCCTGATAAATGCGTTGCTCCAACTGAGCTCCTCCCTCCTTCCTAGCGACAGCATTTCCCCTTATGGTGGCTGATCATGGTCAATTGTCTTTGAGTCCTTTGTTCCTGCACTCTTAACAAGAGCCAAGTTCTGGGAGAAGGGGGTTCAGAAATGCTCTCCAGTGACAACATGTCAGCTGGCTGCTCTGCTTCCCCTTCCACTTCCCAACTCTTCTGTTTGTCTCTCTCTCTCTGAGCTGTGACCTTCCTCAAAACCCTGCTGTAAATCAATGCTGCATTCTTCTCCTGCAGCGTCAAGAGAAGGGGAGTGATCTTCACCATTCATCCTCCATCTCACCTGTCAGGATTGAACCAGAGGTCTCAAGTTCCCCAGAGGGAGGGGGAAGCCTGGGAACAGAAGATGTGGATGAGGTGCCCAAGGGAGGGGGAGGCAATGAGGAGAGAGCAGTTAGAATAAGCTCAGAAAGGGCTGGGGAGACAGAAAGTTCACAGGGGACACAGGGGTTAAGTTCAGGCTCAGAATCGGGGGTGGGAAAATTTACGACCGCCCTCAAGAGGCGTGTGATTAAGAGAAGGGCTGAATACAGGGGCGAGAGACCGCCATTTTATGAGCTGTTGGAGGGCCAAACGCAGGCCTCAGCAGAGATCTGAACTAAGTGACTCTGATGGATGAATCATGTGCTAATGACCCATTGAAAACCCTGTAAACAAAGATCATAAAAACGTCAAGAGGCTCTTGTGGCTTCTGTGGTGAGGAGAGACGCCCACAGCTCTGACATCACCCCTTTGAGTCAAATCCCTGGCAACAAGTTGGGGTCAACCCAAGTCAAAGGGGGTCTGATGACACACATCAAGTAGGTACCACCCACAGAGTGGCCAGCTTGAGCAGTGCTATGGCCCCTGCCTGGGCTTCCAGAGAGAAGCAGCTCCTCCTGGATCCCTTTGTCTGGATCAGGTGCTTCAGGTTCCACCCAGCATTGTGGGTGACCGGCACGTGTGTGATGTCATGTGCAGCATGTGATATCACATGTCGTTGCTGCAGTGGGAGGGCCCAACGGAGCACCCCACTGCAGTGCACAACGTGTTGGGTCGCCCACCTGGGTACCCATGGTGAAAATTATGTGGGTACCCAGGCACCCAGGACCCCCTGAAGATGGCGCCTATAACCGGGGTACCCTGTGCTTTGGAGGGGCAGGCAGAGGCTACAACCTCCTCTCCACCCAAAACTAAGGTTTACCCAGTGCCTTAACTGTCAATGTTATGACAATTGCTATGAGGTTGGCATAACCAAAGGACAGTGCCTATAGGTCCCCTGGGCAAATTCCTTCCTGGCCCTGAATACAGCCACCAACAGTAGCCATAGCAAAGTCAAGTATCTCAGGACAGTGCACAACATAAAAAATGCAACATAAAAGCACAGAATACATGCCAAAATAAACATACACTTTTACCTTGTAAGTCGAATGGAATCCATTCCGGAAGTACGTTCGACTTCCAAAATGTTCGAAAACCAAATTGCAGCTTCTGATTGGCTGCAGCAAGCTCCTGCAACCAATCAGAAGTCACAGAAGCCCCGTCGGATGTTCAGGTTCCAAAAGAACATTTGCAAACTGGAACAATCACTTCTGGATTTGTGGCATTCGGGAGTCAAAATGTCTGAGTTCCAGGGCTTTCAGGATCCAAGGTATGACTGTACAGTCATACCTCGGGTTGAATATGCTTCGAGTTGAGCGCGTTTGAGTTGTGCTCCGCAGCAACCCAGAAGTAACAGAGTGTGTTGCTTCCGGGTTTCGCCACTTGTGCATGCGCAGACGCTCAAAATGACATCATGCGCAGAAGTGGCAAAAAGCGACGTGCACGTGTGCAGATGTGCCTTCACTAGTTACATTTGCTTCTAGATGCGAACGGGGCTCTGGAATGCATCCCGTTCATATCTAGAGGTACCCACTGTACATGATGTGTGGATGGCTCTTTCTCATTTGCAAAATGTGGCAGACCAAGCAAAAAGATAGTAGTGGAAGAAAATAAGCCTACAAGATGAGCTTGCTGGATCAGACCAATGGCCCACCTAGTCTAGCAGCCTTTTCTCACTGTGGCCAATCAGATGCCTGTGGGAAATCCACAAATAGGATGGGATCACAAGAGCGCTCTCCCTTCCTGTGGCTTCCAGCAACTGCTATTCAGAAGCGTTGTTGCCTCCAACAGTGATTCCCCCCTCCCCCGTTTGGGGTGTGTCCCTGGAGACAGGCATTGGCCAAAACTACTGTAATGGGCAAATTTTTATTGAAGCATAGATCAAATTAAATTTGGGAACTGGAAGTTAAAATTAAGAGGTAGGAACAGACGGTCTGTAGGCGTGTCCCCTGAGATGTTCCACTTTTGTGCTAGTAGTCTGTCTTGCTGATCTGAACGAAATCTGGCTCTAACCAATACTGTTAGCCTCTGTTTCTTTCATTCATTTTCTTTAACGACTGCTTAATTCAATCGCTGTCCAATCTTTAAATACATTTCTTTCTTTCTATTTCAGTTGCGTCCTCCGTACGCTAAAACTTTTGATTTAATAGAATATTCAAGAGATATATCACCACAGGTGGGACCAGTTTTTTTCCTTGCTCTCCCACCCCTCTTGCTTCAGGTCAGAAGCTCTTTTAAAAGTGGAAAGGTTTTTAGAAGATAAAAAAAATGCAAGATGACTTGTAGGGTGCTTAGTTCCCAGCTGTAGTTGAGCAGCTAGGAATGAATAAGGGAACTGTGAGCTCTCGCCTTGACCTTCCCCCTCCTCTGCTCAGTGCTAATAACATTATTTATTTATTTATCAAATAAATAAATAATGTATTATTTAATTAAACTGGTTCACCATGTCCTCCAAAATGGGGAAGTATGGTTTAATGTCAGCTTACTATCCGGGACCGTAAGCCACAGCTTGAAATTCGTTTTATGTTTTTGCTTAGTAAACTGGCAATAGGTCACAGTTCCCAGCTAATTTGGTTTGGTAGTGGCACCCACCCTGCGGAACGCTCTCCCACCAGATGTCAAAGAGAAAAAACAACTACCAGACCTTTAGAAGACACCTGAAGGCAGCCCTGTTTAAGGAAGCTTTTAATGTTTGATGGACTATTTTATTTTAATATTTTGTTGGAAGCCGCCCAGAGTGACTGGGGAAACGCAGCCAGATGGGCAGGGTATAAATAATATATTATTATTCTTATTATTCTTATTATTATTATTATTATTAGATTTGTAGACTTCTGAACCATTTTGGTGGTAAAGTTCAAGAGAGCTTTCTCTGTGGTGGTCCCACCCCGGGGGGAACTCCCAGCTGCAACAGATTAGGTTATTGAAATATACTCAGAGTCGAGAGTGGATTTCATGCTCTTTATTCAGCTCACAGTGGTGAGGAGGAATAGAAGTTCCCCCAGAATGTCTGATTTATATACATTATTTACACAATGGGCCCCACGTGATTGGCTAATTCTGGGATTCTCCTGTAGGCCAATCAGGTTGCGGATTCACTTCCACCTGGAGCTGGATTGGGTGGCTCCTGTGGACCAATCAGACTGCTGCATTCTGAATCCTATTGTTCTAGGACTAATCAGACTGCTGCATTTTGAATCCTATTGTTCTAGGACCAATCAGACTGCTGCATTTTGGATCCTATTCAACTCAGTACATAACAGTTATCCTCCTCTCTGTCTGTGTTCTGATAGCAGCCAAAGCAACCTTGAGTATCCTCAATGAGGCACAGTGCTCCTGAAGTTTCAGAAGCTCTGCTCTCAAGACTTCTGGAGTAAACAACAGTGCAAGCAGAGTCTGACTGCCTACGGCAAACAGCAAGATGGCATCCCATCTCATTGACTCCCCACATATTTGAAGCTGGCTGGTGTTGAATCTCCAGCATTGGTGAAATCATCCCTTGTGATGGTAGTTCAGAGGTAAGACGCCTGGCATACACAGTTCAGCCTTCCAGCTCCTTAGCATCAGTCTCCATCCTCCAGCATCTGAGGCACCTACCTCACTCTTGTCTAATAGTAGGGGTTGGCCCTGATTACATACCATCCAACTTGGGGAGACCCAAAACCGGGACGCTGGTCTTCCGGGATACGCTTCCAGGTGAATCACACAACCCACATCTTGCTCTCGCCCCCCATCAACAGTTGGGGGGGTTCGTGAGAGTGTGGTGCAAGTGAGAGTGAGAGGGACCCAAAATGGCTGTGGCAATCTAGCACAAAAAAACCAGGAGGTCCTGGTTTTTTCCTGGGGCACTTGGTAGGTGTGTGATTTGAAGTTGTAACAGGAGATATACAGTGGTGCCTCGCAAGACGAAATTAATCCATTCCGCGAGTGTCTTCGTCTAGCGGTTTTTTCGTCTTGCGAAGCAACCCTATTAGCGGCTTAACGGATTTGTGCTATTAGCGGTTTAGCGGCTATTACAGGCTTACAGGCTGAGCGGATGAGCTGCTAAAAGGCTATAAAGGGCTTAGCTTAGATAAAGGGGGAAGCCATGAAAAAAAATCTCAAGACTCGCAAGACATTTTCGGCTCATGGGCAAGCCCATAGGGAATCCGTCCATGTAGAAACTCAAAAACGGAAAACCCTTTCGTCTAGCGGGTTTTCCGTCTTGCGAGGCATTCGTCTTGCGGGGCACCACTGTATTGAGAGACTATCATCCCAGAAAGTGTGCACAGGAAAGCCACAGCTATTTAAGGAAGTAAGGAAGGTGGGAATGTACAGTGGTACCTCGGGTTACATATGCTTCAGGTTACATACACTTCAGGTTACAGACTCCACTAACCCAGAAATAGTGCTTCAGGTTAAGAACTTTGCTTCAGGATGAGAACAGAAATCGTGCTCCGGCGGCGCAGCAGCAGCAGGAGGCCCCATTAGCTAAAGTGGTGCTTCAGGTTAAGAACAGTTTCAGGTTAAGTACGGACCTCCGGAACAAATTAAGTACTTAACCCGAGGTACCACTGTACTGGTCAACTGTTTGTCAGGAAAGAGAGAACGAGGGTGAGCAGATGCAGCCCTCCACTCGCCCTACTCCAGAACAGCTGATCAGTGGGGCCCTTTCACAAACATTGCTTTGTGCGTGCCATCCTGGGGAGGGGGGGTCGTGCATGCAAATACCACCCCCAGTTAGGGTGCACGCATGGAGCTCTGCTCCTCTGCTGCTAATTCCCTCTTGCCATCCCCTCTTTAATTGCTATTGCATCTCTTCAACATACCTAAGTTCAAAGCTGAAGTTTGCTTTTGAAAGATCTTATCCAACGTTTTCAAGGAATAAGTTATCACGAGCACAGATCTGCAGAAAAAACAGAGGGACATGGGGAGGTGCTTTAGAGCAGGTTGGGCTATTTTTCCATCTAGTCCAAGGTTGCCTGTTCTGAACGGTAGGAGCTTTCCCGGCCTCAAGCAGAAGTCGTTTCCTTCTCCTGCCACCTGATAATTTTAATGAGTAATGCCTTGCCTCTTTCTTCCCCCTCTCCTTGCTGCCAGCCACATGTTTAATTAGGGCTTAACCCCTGATAAACATGTGCTTGGGAGGCCTTGCACAACCCTACTTGTTAGTGAAAATAATGTAGGAAAAAGCATTAGGTCAGGGAAATTTGCTTGCAAAAATGCATGCATTAGACAAAATTATGTGCAAAAATACAGTGGTACCTCAGGTTACAAACACCTCGGGTTACAAACACTTTGGGTTACAGACTTCGCTAACCCGGAAGCAGTACCTTGGGTTAAGAACTTTGCCCCAGGATGGGAACAGAAATTGCGCAGCAGCGGGAGGCCCCATTAGCTAAAGTGGTACCTCAGGTTCAGGATGGTTTCAGGTTATTAACGGACCTCCGGCACGAACTAAATTTGTAACCAGAGGTACCACTGTATGTATATTTGGTGAAATGAACATGGGAATATGTATAAATTAAAACATTTGCAAGCTGTTGAGGAAATGGGGACAACTGAACTTAACATTGATAAAATTACCAACTGAGGGAACCCAAAATTGGCATATTCATCCATACCTAACAAGTCGAATGGGGACATAGAAAAAAGTGAGGTTTTCTTCTTGTAAGAACTCCAGGATAAGGGATGGGGGAGGGAAGCATGGGGCATATTAAGAAATGATCATAACCCTCACAGTCAATGCAGTCTTGCCCATTTCGTCATTGGTTCAAGTGATATAGTACTTGGGGGCCTCCATTAAGTCAGGACTGAAGTGCCATATTCACATATTACTTCATCTTCCCTGCTTTATATCTCAGAAGAAACATTTCCCTCTCTTTTTAAAAGTACATTATTATTTTTGCTGTTTGATAAAAGAGGCCAATATACATTATGATATGTTGATGAGGCAGCGGCGATACAAATTCAGCACTTTTAAGAATTGACATGCCATTCCAAAATCACACACACAGAAAAAGGTTTCAAATGGCTGTGCTTACTTTCCAGAGCAAGTTGAGGGTTCCCCCCTCCCCCCCTTTTTCCAAATGAAGACTTGATGGCTGCAATTTGATTATTAACAGAGAAAAGAGCGCAGATGGAAGTGATATTTAAATTTCAGCATGTGTTGATATTGCATGGGGTGGGGAGGGAGATGAGGAAAAAATGTTTAGTGGACGGTTTTAGCAATATTGCCAGTTCTGTTTATTTATCCCATGTCAAGGATGCAGTAGAAATGGTTACAAAAAGATTGCAGTAGGCGTGTTCCCTGGTCCATTAAGGGGAACATTAACTCCAGCGGTACATGCCAGCTAATGTGCTGCAAAACCACCCAGCGTCTCTGCCACCAAAGGAAATCTCCTTAGCCCAAACAGCCTATTACAAGCGCAGCCTGTATGAAGAGTGCTTGCACCAGCGGCCCTCCAGTCTCTAAATGCACCCAGGGAATTGGTTCAGTGTTGTGGACCCACCTACCCCATAGCCCCCCCTCCACCCACTGGTGCCTCCCCCAAATCAGTCAATAGCTCAGTTTATTCCAGGTTCAACCTTGGATCAAATCTATGCTTCCAGGTGTCATAAGAAAGCTGCAGATATGGTGCAGGATAGTGCGCACCCTGGAAATGATCTCTTTCATCTTCTGCCTTCTTGAAGAAAGGGAAAGGGACCCCTGACCATTAGGTCCAGTCGTGGCCAACTCTGAGGTTGCGGTGCTCATCTTGCTTTATTGGCTGAGGGAGCCGGCGTACAGCTTCTGGGTCATATGGCCAGCATGACTAAGCCGCTTCTGGCAAACCAGAGCAGCACACGGAAACGCCGTTTACCTTCCCGCTGGAGCGGTACCTATTTATCTACTTGCACTTTGATGTGCTTTCGAACTGCTAGGTTGGCAGGAGCAGGGAAGGTACAGGGTTATAAAGACTAGGACTAGCCGCCTGAGAAACAGTTTCTATCCAAATGCGATCTTGGCTGGGATAGATAGGATAGCAGGCTTGTTGGTTTTTGAATGTCTGATGTAGATTTTTTTCAATTTCGTTGTTCTGTATGAGAAAATGACAATAAAAATTATCATATCGTATCATATTGATCAGGTTGGACCTCATCAGACCCTGGTTGATGTCAGTGGGAGCCAGATGGGAACCCACCCCTCCATCAATCCCTTCGGCGCCTGTCAGAGCATCCAAGTTGCCAGGCTTGCAAATGCCAAAGAGAAAAGAAGGGAGTCTTCCATATTTTTCTCCCTGCCACTGGCAGTGGGAAGCAGCAAAGGAAAGAAGGGGGTAGATGAGAGGAAGGGCTTTGCTTCTACTTCAGCTGAGATTTATCAGGGCTAGCCAAGCCAAGAAGAGCCTCTGGGTTGGCTCAGGTGGGTCAAGAGGAGTTGCAAATTGCATCCACTCCGGTGCTGCTTCCGTTGGCTGCCCACAGCAGCTAATCTCCTCCTGCCCCTGCTCCTTGCAGGCCCCATTGCTGTAGACTGCCTGCATAGCCCCTATCCAAGAGAGAAATTGGGGGTGCAAGGGGTTCTCCAAGGCAATCTCGTTTGCATATGAGGTGGCTGCACCATCCAGGCTGGGAAGAGTGAGCATCAGGGACTGTAAGTCCACTAGTGGCGGGTGTGTGGGTATTAGTGGAAGATGCCGAGGCAGCGGGAGTTGCAGCCAGGTGGGAAATGTTGGTCCTCCATAAGCGGCAAAATGTACTGGGCTGATGATCAGGCCACTGTGCTTGCCTCATATCTGAAGCAAGCATTATGAGCCACTGGGATTAAGACGATTTGGTTCATATCTAAGAAATCTGCACATCTGAGCATGCAAAGTTTGAATGTGGCCAACCCACATACCATGAGGGTCACTCTGATGACGGGCAGATGCCCTCCAGTTGAGTGTAGCCAATGCCAAACTCTGGTTGCCTCTCTGCGATGTGTAGGACTGCTGGCCACCCCAAGATTTAACTGCAAACCTGTGGACATTTATTGTAATTATTAAATTTCTATGCTGCCCTTCTTCCCAAAGCAAGCCCAGGGCAGCAGACAACAAAATGATACAAAGAAGAAGAAGAAAAGCCATTCAAAACATCTGGAAATATTTTCAAACAATCAAATCTCATCTTTGTCTTGGATTTATTAATTGCCTTTTCAATCCTATAAGATCATTAAAACACAGAAATGAAAGTGGGGGGAAATTGTGACAGTCTCGGAAGGGTCTATGACTCTGCAGATCCTCTATAGGTTTTGCCCCAGCTACTGGCACAGCAAATGCCGACCCTCGTGAATAAGAGGCGTGGGATGTAATTTGATCTTCTCCAATCCATTCAGTACCCAGGCTGCTTTGTGGGGACTGGTGTTGGGGCTGCCAACAAGCACACTGATGCCAATTGTGACAGTTGTTTATGTGAGAGGGGACATCTGTCTACAGAGAAATCTGGAGTGGGATGACAAAATTATATCCTGCAGGCCACGGAGGTGGTCATCCGATAGCAATATAATAAGTCCTTCCTATTATTGGCTTAGTTCTGATGTGACCCATTGCCCTGTTACAGCGTAGAGAAAGTTCTGTCCTCTATAAAGTTGTCATAGCAAAGTTATTTTTCACGAACAGGAAAAGCTTTCTCTTCACTGACAGATGGATAGCTGTCAACAGTATCTTGCTTCTCTATGTTTTTCATCTATTATGAAGTACAGCCATGAGTAAATGCATAAAAAGATGCTATACCATAAATTCCACCATTAACGCACACATACACACACACCAAAAAAACCCCTCTGCATTTGTTCGTGTTCTGGATGTGAATTCTGTGGTACTGATTTGCTTTCATGATCATGGATTCTGGAAGTCCTTTCAGAAGCTATTAACAGTAGCCACCCTGAACCAATAAATTCTTATTCCAGAGGGCACTTCAGGTTTGATAGGGAAGGGCATATTTATTTATTAAAATAGTTTGACCCCCCCATCTCTTAGTTAAAAGTTCTCAACCACACTAACTGTCCCCCAACAAACATTGAAAACAGTGAAATGATCTAGCGCTGTTCTCACACACATAAATTATATATCTGAGCATTAGTAGACACAAGGTTTTATCAGTATTTAGATAGATGATAGATAGATGATAGATAGATAGATAGATAGATAGATAGATAGATAGATAGAGTGGTACCTCAGGTTAAGAACTTAATTTGTTCTGGAGGTCTGTTCTTAACCTGAAACTGTTCTTAACCTGAGGTACCACTTTAGCTAATGGGGCCTCCCTCTGCTGCTGCGCCGCTGCCGCACAATTTTTGTTCTCACCCTGAAGCAAAGTTCTTAACTCGAGGTACTATTTCTGGGTTAGCGGAGTTTGTAACCTGAAGCGTCTGTAACCTGAAGCGTCTGTAACCTGAGGTACCACTGTAGATAGATAGATGTGTGTATATGCAGGACATCTTTTGCACTTGATCTGGAAGCTGTAGTTAGTACAGAATGCTGCGGCACAATTGCTGACAGGAGTGAGACCCTGTCAGCATATTACACCCCTGTTCGAAGACCTCTGCTTGCGGCTGCTTTACCAGACCAATTTCATGGTGTTGCTACTAGCATATAAAGCCCTCCACAGCTCGGGACCAGTTTGCTTGACGGATCGCCTTATCGCATATGTGCCCATTTGACCGCTTCAATTTGCGGAACTGCCACTTTTGCAAATGCCAAAGCATGTTTGTTCTGCTCTTGCAAGAAATTGATCCTTTAGTGTGGTGGCAGCGCCTATTCCTTGGAACTGCATATAAATAGCAGGCAGGTGACATTACTGTCCTCTTTTCCACACCTGCTAAAATCTTCTTTGTTTGGGCAAACCTCTCCAGACATGTAATCTTACTTATATTCGCTTTTAAAACTGTTGGTTTCATCCATAACTTGTTTGTTCGTATTATAGCTACTTTTAAAAAATAAAGTTTGATTTTATCCATACCTTTAAATGAGTATTTTATATTAGTTTATGTAAACTGCTCAGGGTTTTTATTATCATTAAGCAGTATATAAACCTTGTTAAATACAGCAAACAAATGCAAATAGTACTATAGATGTATTTGCAATTTTGCAATTAATATTAGTTTTTAAAAGGATTTCAAATAACCTTGGTAGGAGCAAGAGGCACAGCCAAGGCCTTTGCAAGATCCTGTGCACACTTGCCATGGAGTAATGGATGGCTCAGTTGGTTAGAGTGTATTGCTGGTCGTGCCAAGGTTGCAGGTTCGATCCCCATATGGGGCAGCTGCACATTCCTGCACTGCATGGGGTTGGACTAGATAATCCTCCAGGTCCTTTCCAATTCTAAGGCCCTTGGAACACAGGAGGACTTCCTCCTGAGGTATCATGAAAACAAGGTTGTCTTCTTGTTGTTGTTTAGTCTTGTCCGACTCTTCATGACCCCATGGACCAGGGCACGCCAGGCACTCCTGTCTTCCACTGCCTCCCGCAGTTTGTTCAAACTCATGCTGGTAGCTTTGAGAACACTGTCCAACCATCTCGTCCTCTGTCGTCCCCTTCTCCTTGTGCCCTCCATCTTTTCCAACATCAAGGTCTTTTCCAGGGAGTCTTCTCTTCTCATGAGGTGGCCAAAGTATTGGAGCCTTGGCTTCAGGACCTGTCCTTCCAGTGAGCACTCAGGGCTGATTTCCTTCAGAATGGAGAGGTTTGATCTTCTTGCAGTCCATGGGACTCTCAAGAGTCTCCTCTAGCACCATAATTCAAAAGCATCAATTCTTTGGCGATCAGCCTTCTTGATGGTCCAGCTCTCACTTCCATACATCACTACTGGGAAAACCATAGCTTTAACTATACAGACCTTTGTTGGCAAGGTGATGTCTCTGCTTTTTAAGATGCTGTCTAGGTTGTCCTACACCGTGCTAAAAAGAAACGCCGATACAAAAACCACCTCACTGTATTTCAGGAGCCATTGTTTGATACCTTTCATGCCTTGTAATAGCTAAAGACGAAGACATTCCCGAGAAATAATTAGATGTAGTCGGAAACCCAGGGAGGCTGCTTCTCCACCCCACCCCAACAACCGGAGTATACACGTCCCATGACTTCTTGGTTACTACAGAACATCCTTGGAAATTAAACCCCTTTGAAGAAAGCTGTGTTTGATATCTTGGCTACAATTCTTACTATGCGAGCGGCCTTTGTCCATGCTTCTGCAGTTATGTTTAAAGCAAAAGAGCTCTGCTGAGATCAAAGCAACATGTGTGCGTAGGTAGATATAATCAAGTCTAGCCACAGAGGTGTTGACACCAACAATGGCTAAAGGCTCAAGGAAAGGTAGTGTTACCCTACAATGTGAGCATGCTGTCTGCATCGTATGCATGTACCATTTTGTCCTCTTCAGAGAGGAGAAAGATGACAGTGTCCTCTGGACACGGACACTAATAAAGTGTTGGTGCTGACCTTTAAAGCCCTAAACGGCCTCGGTCCAGTATATCTGAAGGAGCATCTCCACCCCTATCATTCTACCCAGACACTGCGGTCCAGCGCCGAGGGCCTTCTGGTGGTTCCCTCACTGTGAGAAGCCAAGTTACAGGGAACCAGGCAGAGGGCCTTCTCGGTAGTGACACCCGCCCTGTGGAATGACCTCCCATCAGGTGTCAAAGAGAACAACTACTACCAGACTTTTAGAAGGCAACTGAAGGCAGCCCTGTTTAGGGAAGCTTTTAATGTTTGATGCATTACTGTATTTTAATATTTTGTTGGAAGCCGCCCTGAGTGGCTGGGGAAGCCCAGCCAGATGGGCGGGATATAAATAATAAATTATTATTATTATTATTATTATTATTATTATTATTATTATTATTTGCCTGTATATGCCACCCCTCTGACTGGGTTGCCCCAGGCACTCTTGATAGCTTCCAACTATTATAAAACCACAGTAGAACATTGAACATTAAAAGCTTCCTGATACAGGGCTGCCTTCAGATGTCTTCTAAAAGTCACATAGTTGTTTATTTCCTTGACATCTGATGGAAGGGCGTTCCACAGGGCGGGCACCACAACCAAGAAGGCCCTCTGCGTGGTTCCCTGTAACTTCACTTCTTACGGTGAGGGGACTGCCAGAAGGCCTTCAGAGCTGGACCTCAAAGTCTGAGGCTGAACGCTGGAGTTGGAGACACTTCTTCAAGTATACTGGGTTGAGGCTGTTTAGGGCATAAAGGTCAGCACATTGCTGAAGCTAAGTGGACCTCAGCCTACTTGGATGGGAAGCTGCATTTGAATTCAATATTTATTGCTTGAATATATTTGTATCACACTCTTCCTCTCAAAGGAGCCTAGGGAAGCAAACACATCAGGGTTCGAGCAATGCAATAATTATTATTCAAAATGTTTAAAACATTTAGATGCCTAATATATAAGCCACCTTGGGTTTGGACAGGGCTGTAGCTCAATGACAGAGCAGCTGTTTTGCATGCAGAAGTTCAATTTCCAGCATCTCAAGGGAGGGCTTGGAGAAAGATTCCCTGTCTGAAACCCTGGAGAGTCAATGCCAGTCTGTGCAGTGTAGACTAGACAGAGCAAAGGTCTGATTGCGTATAAGACACCTCCCTATTGTAATAAACCAAGTTCTTGACAGCCTCTGCAGGGCAACCGATTTGTGGGGCAAAAGTATTAGCAGTTCTCAGTCTTTTTTAAAATTTCTACAGAGAAGCACCCGTTCCCCCTCCCTTTATTTTTGTGGTACAGTATCAATCTTGCCATCTCCATGCTTTAGGTTGGGGTGGGAGTAGGATGGGGAGCGGGAAATAGTATTATAATTCTGTCAAAAAAAATGAAACACTTCAATACGTGATTGGCAGGTTGATTACAATAATGCATGTGATTAAACTCTTAGCGTGCCTGTCTAAAGAATGAGAGAATGTCAGTGGTGATTAACAGTATTTTTGTTAACTCTCAGTGCGTTAACTTTTTGAGCTTGCATTGCCTGTGCAGGAGAACCAACGGGACATCTGATGATGAGTTTTTCGGAGGTTGGGTGTCTTTTGTTTACCTTTTCCTTTTAATATAAAAAAGAAGCAGCCAGGAAAGGAGATTGGTAATCAGGGAATCAATGAATAAAAAATCAAAATTCCTTCTTTATATGCCATGTAAACTACCAGGCAAATATCCTAGTACGAAGTTCCTTGCATCCTCTACTTGTTGCTATTGCTCCTGACACAATGTACTTTTCAGGATATCATGGGACTTCTTGGCGTCTGCTCCTAGACTGTGGAACTCCCTTCCACCAGAGGTTAGGCGAAACCCCTCTCTGCTTTCCTTTTTCTGATAGGCAGAGTATTTTGTTCTGACAGGGTCTTCTGAGGGTGGATGTGTAAATGGCTTTAAGTGTTTTCAGTGCTGTTTTTAATGGAGTTGCTCAGTGCTTTTTTTCTAGAAAAATGTGTGTAAGTAAGTGCCACACTTTTCAACAATGAAAAAAGAGGTGCCAGTATTCCGTACCCTGAAAAAAAAAGCACTGGGGTTGATTACTGTCTGTTCATTTGTTTTAAAATGTTTGTGTACATATAAAAACTTGGGGAGGTAGCCCATCTAGGAGAAGGAAAACTCTTATCCTAAACCTCCGCTGCCTTGCAGGACATCTTCAGGAAAAGAAAACGCTAAGGAGTAACCCTACATAAATCCAGAGTGGTGTCTCTAAGACGGTTGGGTGGTGACTTGTACTCCTCCTTCCAGCAACTCCTGCAGCCAAATGTATTGCTTTCCTTTCTTTTGGACCACAACAGCGAGGCTGAGAGGGGGGTCTTGTTGTCTGGGCAGCCCAGGACCTCCATACACACTGGCCAGGGTTGCATCCTTCCACCAGCATGGTCATGGTCTGGTGGCATGGGGTGGCCACTTATATATATCACCAAAAAAAAAAAAGCAAAAGATGATACAGATTGGGTTAAAACTGGAATATGATGAACAGGTGCAAATTTAGAAATAATCACTCTAATTTAAATAAAAATACTGGCCTGTGCGGCAGCCGTTGCTGGGCAATTTAAATGCCAACTACTTCCGTCTCTGGTGTTTCTTTATCATTGAACTGACCCGGTACAATGCTGCTTCCTATCTTCCAGCCCTGACAGACTGCTCAGTATTCCTCTCCTATTTCCAAAGTTCCAGATGCAACAAAATTAGGATATTGAGCAAGCCCCAGATGTAGCACCTTACATGGCTGCTGGGTCATAAACTCAGCAGACCTAACCCAACTTGCTGGTAGGAACTAAGGATGGGCAAATCTGCCAGTTATGCTTTCTCTGTTTATTTTTTCAATCTTCAACTTGATCACCCACTTTTCCACATCACTTAGCATATATAGTGGTACCTCGGGTTACAGACGCTTCAGGTTACAGATTCCGCTAACCCAGAAATAGTACCTCGGGTTAAGAACTTTGCTTCAGGATAAGAACAGAAATTGCGCGGCGGCAGTGTGAGGCCCCATTAGCTAAAGTGGTACCTCAGCTTAAGAACAGTTTCAGGTTAAGAACGGACCTCCAGAACGAATTAAGTTCTTAACCTGAGGTACCACTATATATGTGTGTATGTGTCCTCATGAAAACTCACCCCCAATACACACATTTTTAATGCAAATTTGCCTAATGCACACATTTAACAAAGCAATCCCACAATATAATGCATTTGTGCGTGTGTGTGTTATTTTCAGTAACATATACATTCTTATGCACACTTTAACCCAATATATTCAAATTTGACTGGAGAACGGAGTGGCAAAATTAGGAGCATTTCATATTTTGAAGGACAGCTGTCGTTGGGTTTGCCTATTTTTGGAAATTGCAAATTAGGTACGCTCAACCTTTAAGTGTAGACGTTATCAAGTTTCTTCCTCATCCCTAATAGGAATTCACTCTAGCCTTTCAGCCCCGCAGTGGCTGAGGTTGTGCCTATTAGTAGTATTAGTAGCAAATGAGGATTTAAAAATACATATACCTTCCACCTCACTGCATTGTGCCTGTTCCTAATTACCTCAGGAAATCACTCTTTGATCAGCAAAGCTTCTATCACTAAAGGCCAAACTCACTTCATTCAAGAGCTTTACGTCCTCCCGGCAACAGAGTAATAAATAAGGAGTTTATAGATTCTGGGGTTCTTGTTTTTAAATAGCATGTATTAAGAACACCGCTAGCATTTAATACAGTGATGTTTCGAGGTATGCTAATAGCCACAAGAAAATTTTCAAACCTCCATAATGTGCTTTAATCACCGGCTGGAGATCAAAACCCACCATGTGGTTTTATACAGCCTGGGCACCTTCCAGGATTGCCTTACATGGAAACAGATCAATGGCAAAATTGGTAGATACTGCAAAGCTTTTGCAATAAAAGCTTTTTATGTATCTCGTTCAAAGCATGTAAGTGCCTTTTAGATCACTGATTGAACTGTAGACAGTATAAAGTGGAACCTTTTAATACTAAAATAAATTTCCAGAGTAAAAATTCCATTATAGGGAAAAGTGTTTTTGCTGCAGCGGGATAGATAATAATTCTTTCACACGTAATGGGATTCATGAAATGTTTGATGATAAACAGAAGTCCTTTGTACAGCCATAGCAAGACTGTACCGTTTGTGGGGGCCTCTATTAGGTATATGATGGGTGGCATCGCATGCTATATTCCAGAAGGTGATTAGAAGGAAGGCCTAATGATGGGCCAGGTAAAAGGGTAAAAAGCACTCTCATCAACAAAAAAATTGGGGCGATAAAATAAATAAGCATAACCACTTTGAAAGTCACAAGAATCCTTTAATTTGGATTGATGTCATTCAGCAACAACAAAATAATTTCCCAGGCTTGGCACACTTTAAGAGACTCCCAAGTTGAACTTACTGAAGTGAATCGTTCATCCGCCTCCTGATATCACCGGGAAAAATATTGTTGGCCTGCTTCCCGTATAACTTTTTGCAACCACAATGAATATTTTCAACCCTCTCTCCCACAAATGATTCTGCACTTCCAGGGATACAGATGTGTGAAAAGGTTATAAAGGCACGTTTGCAACCAGCAGCGCTGCGTCTGCGCATGTGCAAGTTGCGATTCGGCGCTTCTGCGCATAGCGTAATTTAGTGCTTCTGCGCATGCGCCAAAACCCAGAAGTAACCCATTCCGGTACTTCCGGATTTCGGTGTGTCCATATCCTGAAACCTCGCAACCTGAAGCATCTGTAACCCGAGGTATGACTGTATTGAAACCAGAAAGTGGGAATATATATAAAGCCCTCTTGGAGAGGGCTCACATCAGCAGCCAGCACCCTTGGGCACCTGCTGAAGGCCCTCTGCTTCTGACACATGGGGTCCTCTTTCCTGGAACTCCTCCAGTGATTGCCAGGCAGTCGCCACTCTAACTGCTCACAGTAACCCCAGAGCACCTTACGAACAGTGCAGAGATAAATAGAAGGGTTGTCCACTGACGTAGGGGACACAGTGGTTCTCAAACTCTTTTCCCTGGGCCACACTTTCAGACCCTCCAAGTCTTCCTATCTTCCAAGGACAGTCCTGGATTTACAGAAGCCGTCCCGGTTTCTGATTTGATCCCCAAATGTCCCACTTTCTCCCAGGATGTCCCCATTTTCAATGGAGAAATGTTGGAGGGTATGGTAGGACGTCCCTGTCTTCATCAGAGAAACGGCAGAAGATATGCACTTTCAGAATAAAAATTTTCTCGTGCCACACTGAATTTTTTTTTATCGATAAGAAATACATTGGAAAACAAAAAGAAACAACTCCTAGCAGTCCTTGAACTGCAACATAGAACACAACTACTTTATAATATGATCATGGGACATCAAGAAAGTATGAAACAACGCAGCTACATAAGAACTGGAATCATTCCCAAAATATAAGCTGTTAATTATACAATGGTGTCAGCAATGCTCAGTAAATGATCAACAGTCTGCTGCTGTAAAAGGTTAAGGTGTGTCTCTTATATATAATTGTAATTTTTGCATCTCATAATTTTCTGCTTCATATACATGCCAACTAATATTTCATTTAATATAATAATATAATAATAATTTGTTATTTATACCCCGCCCATCTGGCTGGGCCTCCCCAGCCACCCTGGGTGGCTTCCAACAAAATATTAAAATACAGTAGTCCGTAGATATTAAAAACTTCCCTAAACAGGGCTGCCTTCAGATGTCTTCTAAAAGTCTGGTAGTAGTTGTTCTCTTGGACATCTGGTGGGAGGGCGTTCCACAGGGCGGGTGCCACTGAGAAGGCTCTCTGCCTGGTTCCCTGTAACTTGGCTTCTCGCAGTGAGGGAACCGCCAGAAGGCCCTCGGCGCTGGACCTCAGTGTCCAGGTACAACGATGGGGGTGGAGATGCTCCTTCAGATTACTGGACTGAGGCTGTTTAGGGCTTTAAAGGTCAGCACCAACACTTCATGCATCTGACAAAGCGAGCTTGACCTCTGGAAAAGTTATGCCAGAATAAATTTGATAGACTTTAAAGTGCCACAATACTATTTTGTTATATATGCTTAACATTGAACTAAGAATGGAAGGAGAGTTTGCTGGATCAGGCCAGTGGCCCATTTAGTCCAGCATCCTCTTCTCACAGTGGCCAACCAGATGCATGAGAGAAACCAGCAAGCAGAACCTAAGCACAAGAGCACTCTGTGGTTCCAGCAACTAGTATTCGGAAGCATTGAGGATAGCCATCATGGCTAGTAGACCTTGACCACACTCTCCTCTATGAATTTGTACCATATCCTCTTTTAAAGCCATCTAAGTGGGGGAGTGAGATTCATAGTTTAACTGTGTGCTGTGTGAAGCAGTCTTTTCTTTTCTCCATCCTGACTCTTCAAAGTTCAGCTTCATAGGATATCCATGAGTTCAAGTGTTACGAGAGAGGGACAACATATCTCCTCTATCCGTTTCTCCATGTCATGCATAATTTTCAAAAACTTCTACCATGTTACTCACCTTTTCTCTAAACCAAAGTCCCAAATGTTGCAGTAGTATTTTCCTTAGGGTTGCTCTATAAGTTCTTGTTCTAAGAGATTTGCTGTTCGCTGACCACTGATGCACTTTCTCCCATTTCTGCACTGACTGAAATGAGTTTGCGCACACAGTTCTGCCTACCTAGAAAGTATGAACAAGCTCATTCCATGAATATGCATTCTACTTATTTTGCATGAAGCTCTCGCCAATCTACTATTGCAATTTTTTTATTTTGAAAAAATGCAAACGGCAGCTAATCCTAAACAAGCGGATTGCCTAGCCCTTTCTCAACCCATCACATGATTTGCATAATAAGTCACCCAGAACTGGGGTACTGGCCTACTGAGTATTATTATTATATAATATAATTATATTATATAAGAATAATAATACCCCACCTTTTCTTCTGAGGGGACTCATGGCGGCTTACGGGGGGGGGGAAGACCCACTAAGACATAATTAAATCAGGGGGAATCATTAAAACAACAATAACCACAATTCAACATATATAACATCTACCAGTGCATGTACTGTAGGTTAAAATACAGTATTGTACATTCAAACTTAGCACTGGCTCCCCTCTTCAAAGGCGCATGCGCGAGAGGAGGAGTTGGTGGGGTGGGAAGAAGCGAGAAACGGCGGCGCGCCGTTCCTAGGCGGGAAATAAAACTACACTTCCCAGAATGCATCGCAGCACGCGGGTGGCGTCGGGGAGAGAGAGAGAGAGAGAGAGAAAGGAGGCCGTTTACCTTGCGACGGCGGCCGAAGAGGGGCAAACGTTACAATAAAAGAAGCCTCGTCGCTTTCGGGCGGGAGGGCGCGTGGATTAATTAACCAATGAGGTGCCGCGTCGCGCGGGGGCGGGAAAGAGAGGAAGCCGAGCGCTGGACTTTGACAGGGAAGCGGAGAGAGCGAGAGACTCGCGGCGGGAATTTCAGAGCGGGCGGAAGGAAGCGAGCGAGCGAGCAGAGGAGGGAAGCAGGGAGGTATATTAACAGAAGTAAAAACAAAAGTAAGGAAAGGCCGTTGCTGCAGCCTGAGGGGAGGCAGGCGCCTGTGAGGGGGGCGAGGCGAGCTTAGGCCGCCGCGGGCCCAGGCTGCTGGCTCCTCTCTTCGCGCCCCCCTCAGCAGTCCCAGCTGCACAGTGTAAATAACGATGACGATAATAATAATAATAACAACAGCAGCCTCCAGGGTAGGGCTGGGAGGGCAACGCTGCTGAGGCGTAGTGAGGCGGGGTTGGACTAGATGACCCTTGGGGTGCCCCTCCTGGTTCTACACGTGGGCTGGCAGGTTGCGGGGTAGGCGGAGCCACTCGGCAGGGGACTTCTGTGAGGCTTTCCCGAGGGGTGTTTGCAGAAGAAAGTAGGGAGTTTGGTGGCACATTATTATTACTAATTAATAGAGAGTGGGCTAGAGTCACTTTTATCAGATACAAACGGGGAGAAGAAAGTGCGTCTGCATCTCATTCCATTCCTTGCCCTCCTCCCCATTATTGAGATTCCTTAAAATCATTATAGCTGCGCTCATTATCCTTGGAGGTGCTGGAGGCAGCTTAGGTGGCTGTGTCTCTCTGCCGCCCATTTCGTCCTCAAGGGAACCATTGGGAGGGAGGCCTGTTCAGGAGAGAGGCAGGGAGTAATAATAATAATAATAATTTATTATTTATACCCCGCCCTTCTGGCTGGGTTTCCCCAGCCACTCTAGGGCGGCTTCCAACAAAAAAATAAAAATACAATAAAACATCAGACATTAAAAACTTCCCTAAACAGGGCTCAGGGCCGCTCAGTGTGTGGCTGGGTGCAACCCTAACCCCACTTGGCCTGGGTATAACCCCCGTGGAATTCAGTAAGATTTCTTATTATCTATTACATTTCTTGTCATTTTGTCTTGCCCAGGGAAACCCAAAGCAACTTTGCAACTAAATAGATGTGGTTAGGGCTGCACTGCAAGTGGGGATGTTCACCTGGGGATGGGGAGCCTCTGGCCCTCCAGATGTTTATGGACTACGGTTCCCATCACCTCTGACCACGGCATTGAGCAGATGGGAGTGGCAATCCGACACATCTTGAAGGCTGCAGGTGACAATCAGCCAAAACTGCACCAGCCACTGCACCGTGCTGGCTTTGGAGATGGGGGAAGGGGGTTGTGTGCTCTTGCACACTTTATCTCACACACAACCTTCGCCTGCTGGAGGCCTTTTCATTATCTCGCTTTGTATTGAAGCCCATTCCAAAGGGAATTCCCTTTGGTGTAAATGTGGCGGGTTGTATTCCTGGTTTATTTTCACACACACAGCTCAGGATACTCCAGATCAACAAGTTTTAATACAAAACAAAGGCATCGTAGTGGCAGAGTTTTTAGAGCTGTCATGTTTCAACAGAAATGCAAGAGAGCCATGCTGAATCTGTCCAAAAAGATGCACACACTTTGACACTCTGCTTTTCACAGTGGGCAGTGAGATGTCATCTTGTAATTTGTCCCATTGTTTGCCCTTGGTATCAGCTATTTGGAAGGTACACTGCCCCTGAATTTCGATGTTCCATTTAGCCATCATGATGGACAGTACAGTGCTCTCACAAGGAAGTTCTGTAGTGTTCAAAAGGTCTTACTCTCTGGTGAGACTGTTTAGGATTGTAGCTTAATCTCTTCCGGAGTGGGATCTATGTTCGTCTTTTGCCACACAAGCAAAGCTTGGCATCTTAAAGGTTCATGTTTATTACAGGGCAGTATTTTGTGGGCTAGTGTTGATCTGATGAGGTGAACTGTAGTCCACAACAGCTTATTATGCCATAATTGATTTATATTGTGCCTCTTATCTTGCAAGACGTTTTAAAAAATTGTAAACTATCCTATATTCTTGGGTCTTGGAAATCCAGGTTCACAGTTCTATCCATGAAGTACAGAGGGCTCTTCTAATAAATTGCTGTCTTCCTGCTAACCTACCTTGCAGACTTGCTGTGAGGCTAGAATAGCAACAGTGTAGTCATGTAACTGAATAAATTAAGTTAAATATAAACAATTTGAGAATATATGCTTATGGGATCTGCACTGACGAGTGACTGACAAGGAAGGAGATTTTAGGAGTTGTAGATACTTGAATGTGAAAAGGTCAACCCAGTATGCCGTAGCTGTGGAAAAGCAGAATTAAATTATGTATTATTTATATGCATTCATATAATAAAGTGTCTTACTATAACCAGGTGGAAGCTATTTTTAGAAGTCAATATCCTGTATAGGTTTCACTTGGTAGTTCTAGTGCTCTGAATGATTAGTGTTGTCACACCACTGATGGATCTCTAGCCCAGAGGACTGTCTACTCTGACTGGCAGGACTCTTTTTCTGCTGCCTGATATTCTTTGAAACTGGAAATGTCAGGACTTGAACCTGGGACCTTCTGCATGCATTTCTTTTGTATTTCTGCATTACTATTATTTTGCTTTTGCACATTCACATAAAATGCCTAAGACAATCTCAAAAGCAATTTGTCCCATGTAAAAATGTGTGTGGACTTTGTTTTGTACTTCCATTTACCTGTTTTTAATAAAGAGGAGGTGAAATAGCTTAATGGGAGTTTTGTTAATGAGTTCTAAATAAGGATTTATCATATATTATTATGGGGTTTGTGGCATATAAACCCACAGAACCTGACATTACATGTCATCTTCTGGTAACTCACTAAAAAAAAAAAAGTGTACTAAAGGCCTGAGAAGAATTTTATTCTGTGTACCACCCTGAGATCTTATGATGAAGGGCGGTATATAAATTTAATAAATAATAGATGTTAATTGCTTTGGAAATTATCTGTTTCAACTCTGGTTGGCATCCATCTGTCATTGGAGGAGTGCTCCTTTGGGGGTGAAGTCAAACGGTTGGAAAGTTGCAGCGCTGGCTATGGCTGTAGAGACTGATGTGGGAGAGACGTGTTTTGTTGTAGCTGGGGCAGAAGGCATCCGGTTGTGCTGCTGCAGATGTGCTATGGCGTTTCTTCTCTGCACTCCTTCCAGTGGTCATTCCTCCTCTGGTCACTGCTGGATACACGACCTGCCTGCCTGTCTCCAGGCTCTGTGGTAGTCTGCAAGGGATTGCAACATAGCAGGGTTGATGTTCGCAGCCTTCATGTCACATCCATTGCCTGCTGTCCCTGGCACTTTATAAGAGCTTCTGGGTACACATGTCTTAAGCAGGAAAGAGGCAGGAAGCCTTGCTGCCTGGGCAAAGTACTCATACTTTTTTGGTTCCAGCCGTTTGTAAATTACTAAAGTATCCATACTCATTTTTTCCCCTTTCTCCTATTTGATAAACAGTGCCCCCTCATTTAAATAAGAGGAGAATCTAATTTCTTTATTTTTGAGGTTGGACATGGGTGTTGTATGTCCCCTGTTCCTTGGGTTTTCTTAGAAAATTTCATCTATGCAGTACTTACAAACTTAGTAGCACTGCCTGATCACTAAAAGGAAGCAACCTTGCTGAAATAAACAGCAGTTTGTGGTGGATTAGAGCACCACCAAATGAGGAAGGACATCAGCTGTTGAATCATTCTGTGTTCCCACACAGCAGAAACTTTGTGTTCAAAATAAATTAGAGGCATGTTCATTTTAGTTCTGTTCAGCAGGGATGGAAACATATAATAGGAAATGGCTGCTAAGAAACGAAGTGTGCAGGGAGGGAGGGGGGAGAAAAATTAATGGCAGATGCAATGACACTGAACAGTCATTCATGCCCTAGTTATGTCTAAGTTAGATCATTGTAACACACTGTTGAGGAATATAATGGAGCAAAAATGACTGTTGCCTAGTGAGAGGTGTTCCAAGTGCGCCACCTGAACATTATTTCAACTATAATACTAGCCCATACTATTTGCTTGTTCTTCTTGCTTCAAACATAGCCAAAGAAAGATTTATTATTATTTTAAACCTCTCTTGCAAGCCTGAGTTCATTCTGAGCTTTGGCCCACCTGACCTTCTCCTTGCAACTCTTGGCTACTCATATATACTTTTACTTTGTGATTTCTCCTTTCTATTTCTTATACCTTCTCTCCTTACATCTCAGCTCATCTGTAAGCTCCTTATGCAGTCACACTGGTTTATTTAGGTGCCTCCCACTTTTCTTTTTTGTTGGAATTGTCTACCTTAGTATTTCACCTTTAAGAAACTCCCATCCGTCTTGGACTCCTTTCTCTTTGAGTATTTCTGACCATGGGATTTCACCCAGTAGTTCCTTAAGCTTTTTGAAACCAGCATTCTTAAAGTCTAGTTTCTATGCCATTCCTTCCCTCCATTTTCAGGGTAGAATATATCATAAATTACAGTAGTTTGCATACTTTTTCTGTGTTCAGAATTTGTTTTTTCACTAGAGAAGAATCTATTTTAGTTCGCAAAGTTACAGACCCTGGGCAACAAAGTCATGACCTAGTTCCTCTGTAGCTCACGCATCTTCAGACTCTTCTCACAAAATCACGAGGACTACTTAACTTGCCTCTCTTCCCTGACCCCTTCACTTAAATAAGATTAAGAAGCAAGGCTGCTTTCAGAATACAAACTCCATGCAAGTGTCAAGTCGGCTAGAAAGCAAGTCAGAAGCCTTGTGACCTACACCTACCAAGGGGGTGCTTTAAGAAACTCCCATCCATCTTGGACTCCCTTCGCTTTTATTTTTTCTCACTATGAGATCTTACCCCAAGTGTCCTTGAACTTTGATAACTGAGGCTCTCCTGGTGATCTTTCTTTCACCATATGGAGTATGGTGGATGGGAACAAATGATGGGCCCTTTTCATAATGCTGAACTTTTGTTCTGTGGCCAAAATGTAGTTTCTCAGAAGAAACTGTAATGCTTTAAAGTGGCCTATGTAATTTATTTATGACTGCGGTTACTGCTTTTTCTTTTATGTTTCTATTTAACATTAGTTTGTTTTGATTTTGTCATTGTAAACTGCCGGGTGCATTTTATGGAAAGACAAGGATATTTTTATAAACAAATAAAATAATTAGAATTGTGGTTCTTATGCTTTCATAATGAGCCTATTCTAGTACTGGTATTGTAGGTTATCAGGACCACCAGCACAGTTCCACTGCCTCCCTTCTCCATGTTATTTATTCATTTGTTAATCACCTTTCATCAGAAGATGCCTGGGCAGTGTACAAAAGTGGGGATAAAAACTATCATTTTCCTAAACTTTTGCACCTTGCAGACCACTATATATATACATATATATATATATATATATATATATAGTGGTACCTCGGATTAAGAACTTAATTCGTTCCGGAGGTCTGTTCTTAACCTGAAACTGTTCTTAACCTGAAGCACCACTTTAGCTAATGGGACCTCCTGCTGCCACCGCGCCGCCGGAGCACGATTTCTGTTCTCATCCTGAAGCAAAGTTCTTAACCTGAGGTACTATTTCTGGGTTAGCGGAGTCTGTAACCTGAAGCATATGTAACCTGAAGCATATGTAACCCGAGGTACCACTGTGTGTGTGTGTATATGTATATATGTGTGTGTATATATATATATATATATATGTGTGTGTGTGTGTGTGTATCTATATATATATATATATATTTGCACATTTCTAAAAGCAAGGGGTGATAGTTTGTTAATGAACAGAACAGTTTATTTTCAAGGGGCAAAAAGAGGAGAACCCTGTTTGTGAAGTCTTGTCAAATATAATAGCCAATAGCTGACTGTATCAGCTATACCTTTTCAGCCAGCGCATTTCTGAGGTGGTGTAGTTCAGTGGCAGAGCACATCCATTGCATGCAGAAGGTGCCTGGTTCAATCCCTGGGCATCTTTACTTAGAAAGCAGCTGATGGTAAAGACCTGAGGCCCTGGAGAGCTGCTTCCAATGGGAACAGTGTTTGCTCGGCTTGATGGACAAATAGTCTGACCCAGCTTAAGGCTGCTTCCTGTATTTCTAATTCACATGGTAGTTAAGCCATTTGAAAAATAAAACTAGTTGCTGCTATTTGTGTTATCTGACAGTCTGCTGCTCACTGTTGTCAGTATGCCATCCGTGAAACTGCACATGCTAACATCCCTAAGTCATTCATGCATATACATATTTATTTAGATATCTAACCTGACTTTTCAGTAGCAAACTAGGATGGAAACATGTGCATAGATACCTGCACAAAATTGCCTCTGTTGTATCTTAAATCCCAATGGACAGAAGTACCTTTTCCTGAGTCTGGGGGCAGGTTAAAGGATGTTTGCAGTGAGTTAAATTTGAGCTGTAGGGGTGGTCATAGGTAGGGTTGTGCAAGATTTGATATCTCCACAAAGAGCAGGTTGTCTGGAAGTGAATGAATACTGTGAAATTTGTGTTCTGCCCATTCAGACTCATTGCTTGGCATCAATGCCCTAGTAATAGTTTGGCCACCTTGCAAATAGGCACAGTGCCATCATAAGCAGATGGATGTGGGCATTCTCGGCCAGGAAATGGAGCCTGTGCAGTTAGCATAACAGTAGGATTCCTAGAAAGAGTCTTGCTTTTAGTTTTCATAGTTAAGGAGTCTCCCTTCATGTGCATTGCAAGTAAGCATTTATAACTGTGTAGCGCTTCCCTTCCAATTGAGAATACGTTGTACAAGAACATTTATTTATTACAAGTAATTGTATACCACCCTTCCAGCCAGGTTACCTTGCTCCTTCTGCCCATGTTTGTGAAACAAGGCAATATAATATGTTGCCACATGTAAAGTAGGCTTGCCATCGAGGCTTGCCTGGCTGCTGCTGTGACTTGTAGGTTATTTCTCCCTGCACTCATGAGGATGAGGTGCAGAAACTCTGGATACAATTGTAACTGTTGTTTGGCCATCCACACAGCCCTCTCCTCCCCCCTGGTTCAACATCTCCCATTGCTCTGTTGCCATTTCCATCTGTAGTACTGGATAGTGAGGTCATAGTTATGGTTGTTGTTGTTGTTTAGTCGTTTAGTCGTGTCTGACTCTTCGTGACCCCATGGACCAGAGCACGCCAGGCACACCTGTCTTCCACTGCCTCCCGCAGTTTGGTCAGACACATGCTGGTAGCTTCGAGAGCACTATCCAACCATCTCATTCTCTGTTGTCCCCTTCTCTTTGTGCCCTCCATCTTTTCCAACATCAGGGTCTTTTCCAGGGAGTCTTCTCTTCTCATGAGGTGGCCAAAGTATTGGAGCCTCAACTTCACGATCTGTCCTTCCAGTGAGCACTCAGGGCTGATTTCCTTAAGAATGGATACGTTTGATCTTCTTGCAGTCCATGGGACTCTCAAGAGTCTCCTCCAGCACCATAATTCAAAAGCATCAATTCTTCGGCGATCAGCCCTCTTTATAGTCCAGCTTTCACTTCCATACATCACTACTGGGAAAACCATAGCTTTAACTATACGGACCTTTGTTGGCAAGGTGATGTCTCTGTGTTATGGTTAGGATAGATAATTAAGAAACATTTTACAGCACAAGACAATTAATGTCTATAACAGGGAAGCATAAAGAACTTTGCTCACGTAGAAGTGTGGAAACTGGTTGTTCAGATGTACTCAGCCTTTATGAAGGATTAAGAACTGCTGATTAAATTCAGGCCAAAAGCCAATCTAGTCCAGCATCCTGTTCTCACAGCAGGGCAAGAGATAGATGCCTCCAGGAAACCTGCAAACCGGATTTGAGTGCAACAACCCTCTCCCCATTTGCCATTCCCAGAAACTGGCATTCAGAGGCATACGGCCTCCAGCAGTAGACACAGAACATAGTCAGCATGACTAGTAGCCATTGATAGCCTTATCTTCCATGAATTTGTCCAATCCCCTTTTTAAGACCAGCTGCCTTTGGCTGTCCCTCAGCTGTCACCTAGCAGTAGCCATCAAGTTGAAGCAGAAAGGAAGAAAGGAAGTATGGATCTTCAACTGGCTGTACTGAGAGATCAGCTGCCTTTGGCTCTCCCTTATCTCCCATTCCATCAGGGTACCTGAGCAATTTTCATCCCAGCTCTTCATTATAAAAACTGTAATTTAAAATGATAACAATACCTGAGTTTGCTTTTTTCCACTTTCTCGTCCCCTTTTCCTTTCGTGTTGAGGCTTTTATATTGTAAGCCTGGGGGCAGGGATTGTCGTGTGTGTGTGTGTGTGTGTGTGTGTGTGTGTGTGCTATTTTAAATGGATCTGGAAGTCTTTTCAGCTCAAGAGCAGGGTAAAAGTGTTTTAAAATAACCTGTATGGTCATAATGAGTGTTTGAGAGCTTAGTCGCTGATACATATACCATTTACAAACTAAAGAATTCTTATTGTTGTTCATGTGGAAATATGGTTTTAAGATTCAATTAGGAGAAGGCAATTTTGTCCCAAAAGGGGGAGAAAACAGCACTTCAAGTATCATCATTCTGGAGTGAGAATTTGTTTGGTTCTTATTTTAGTACTTGGGTTTTGTTGGAGGCTGCATATGTCGAAGAAAGAGAACTGGTATATTAAATAACTAAAAGCAAGTGACAGTGTGGAATAACCTACCTCTTAACAGGTGTGTTGATTTTTGTTTTTTGTTTGTTTTAGTTTAGAATATGCCTAAGAAAGCAGCTGGGAAAAGAGGCCCTGCAAAACGGAAACTTGCAGAAGAATTTCCTCCAGGAGAAGTTTTTACTGACCTAACAAAGAAAGATTGGAAGCTTGGTCCGGTTATAGGCAAAGGTGGTTTTGGCTGCCTCTATCTTGGTAAGACTGAGAAAGAAGCCTGTTAAAGTTGGAGCACTGCATTCCTTTCTTTAGGCCAGGGGTGGTGGTGTGGGGAATATATAATCCGAAAACATGGGAACAGTGAAATCAATTTATCATGGGCACAATTTGGCTAGAGAATGGCAGCTTGATTTCCCTCCTTTCCTTCAAAATAATCACCTGATGAGCCCAAAGACACACTTAACATTCTGCATTGTTTAGATTATTCATTTGCTTATCTTACTAAGTTTCTGCTGCTGATCCAGATTTTATTCATCACCTTCCATGCCCTGCTTGGAAGCTTCCCAGACGCACCTGGCTGGCTGCTGTTTGGAAAGAGGATGCCGGACTTGACAGACCCTAGTCTGATTAAGCAAGGCAGTTCTTATGTCCTTTGTTATGTGGAAGTTTGGACACAGTTGGCTGTTGGCTGGGCATGGCTTGTAAAAATGAATAATGCATTTCAGCTAGAGATTTCCAGAGTAATACCTGGAGTTTGTGTCTCAGATTTCTTATGATGTAAAACCTACCTATCACTGCCTAATGAGTTTTCTTCTTTGTGTGTGTGTATATAAATATGTAATCTGGCTTCGGAACAGAAAGCTGAAATGGATGGCCATAGTGTAAAGAAGAGGGAGGGGTTTCTGTCTCAAGACTTGTTTCCTGCCAGGTTGAAGCCAGAGGCTCTTACTTTCTAATCCCTGCATATACAGTGGTACCTCAGGTTAAGAACTTAATTCGTTCTGGAGGTCCGTTCTTAACCTGAAACTGTTCTTAACCTGAAGCACCACTTTAGCTAATGGGGCCTCCTCCTGCTGCCACGCCGCCGCAGCATGATTTCTGTTCTCATCCTGAAGCAAAGTACTTAACCTGAGGTAATATTTCTGGGTTAGCGGAGTCTGTAACCCGTAGCGTCTGTAACCTGAAGCATCTGTAACCCGAGGTACTACTGTATATTTTGCTTTTTCTAAACTTCTGCTAAGTATCTCAGCCGCAGGATTCCTTTATGAGCTGAAATATAAATGAGCAGAGTCTTAATATAAAAAGTAGCCTTTCTGTGTTATAAGAGCACATTTGATGGTAACTCCCTTCTACGGTGATCAGAGTATTGATACAAGACCAGCAACAAGAAGTACCTCAAAGACAGTATAGTTTCTAGTTTCAGCAATTGATGCAATTGTGGCTCTTCAGTGGTACCGTTACTGTGCTGTCTGTACTGATCTTGCTCTGTTTGGACTAGCAATAATTGGAATGCAGAGGGCACCGTCCCTTTCTGGCTTGCAAGAGTTAGACAGGCTAATGTCACTATCTTCGTCACTTGCAGAAGCTAAGTGCCTGCTGGAAGTGACAAGCAATTCCCGGAGAGGCACTTCATGGTACAATTTAACATGTGCACGGAAAATTAAAATGTTAAGTGTAACAAGCACATGTTTATCACTATGGTTTAGCGCAATGTGTATGAGCTGGAATGAGACTAATCAAAGTCGCCTATTCTTTCCTCCTTCAGTGTTAATGGGAGAAGGATTTCACCAGTATTATTATACAATGTACACAGGCCATGTCCGCATGCCACACTAAACCATGGTTTGGTGCTTTGTCCAGGAGCTGCAATGAGCCTGAACAAAACATCAGTCTTGTGTGCTGCCATCTCCTTCTGCCAGGAGGAGAACTTCATCAGCATTTATTTTCAGTTTCCTCTAATCCTGCCTTGTCATTGTGTGAAAACCAGGAACTGTGATTTGTCACAAAGTCTGGTCAGTTACAAAACAAGACAGCATCAAACCACTGGTTATGAAACAAGTTGAACACTTAACTTTAAGCGTTCAACATACTTATTTATTATTACTAACTGTATATTAAGCAAATAGTTCTTTCACCATGCTGATAAGAAACTGTTCATATTTTAACAGCTGATGTTAATTCTTCAAAATCAGTCACCAGTGATGCACCCTATGTTATAAAAGTGGTAAGTATATATTTGAAGTAGTCCATTTTCAGATGCATGCACAGAACATCCTAGGAAAACTAGAAAGACTCTTTCAGTAGGTATGTGGAATTTTGTGGAGAGAAAATCCTTAGGCACCCAATGTCCCATGAATTACAAGTAGGTTGAAATAAGTTTAGATAAGTTGAAGCCTTACTTTAAAATCTTTTTATTCTGTTCTGCCATTAGCATTCCTTATGCATTGCTAAACCACTTCATATGAACATTCATAAATGGAAATAAATAAATACATAATACATTTAAAAAATGCAAACATTGTCCTGTTGCTAAAATAACTGAACACATACTGACCTACATTCCTATAACTGCACGGTTACACTACTGCATTCATCTGCTGGGATTGTTTTTCTGCTTTAAGATTCCCTGAAATATTTATCAATCGCATAAGAAATGGACAGTTACTAATGCTGTGACAGATTGGAGCTGGAGTACAGGCTTATAACTTTTGGTATATGTCCTTATGGTATTAGAGGTACTTAGCTATAATTCCTTATTTGGCAACTCATTCTGGCTACAAGCCATTTTACACAGTGGAGGGCCAGATCATTTTTTCCCCTGTCTGGTCCCTGCTGTCCAACTGTACCACTCATCATCTTATTGCCTGACATTGTTATTGTTATTAATTGAATTTATATACTGCCCTATACTTGGCGGTCTCAGGGCGGTTCACAAAACAAGGCTGTCGATATAGATGTGGCTGGGAGACGACTGGGCACTTGAAGTTGGCACTTGTTTCAGAGCCCCCTGCTATATTGGGGCATTCTGACTCCATACACCAGCCAGACCAGCAACAGTAGGAAAGAGAGTCGTGCGTTGCTTCTGATACCGCCCGTTTCCCCATAAAAAGTGAATGTGTCACAGAGGACAGAGTGCAAGCTTTATGCAGCCACTTCCTTTCTGCTGCCTCTCAGTTCCCTCTTCCACAGTCTCTCCATCACTTGAGAAGGCATGCCTGGAAAGTTGGAGGGCAGGGGAGATGGCACCCCTTGAAGCAAATAGGATTTGGCCCTATTTGCTGAAACCCTGCTTGGTATTTACCTATCTTGAGACTATTGCCCATTTTGACAGGAAGAGGGAAGCCTGTTTATTTATTTATTTAAGCCAAATTGTTAAGTTTCCATTTAGCATAGTTGCAAGTATTATTGCCTGGTAGCAGTAACCTAGTGCCATGAATTTGCCTGTATCGGGCTGCCTGTTATTTATAGAGTTATAGACACTATGAATCGATTAAGTTTATGTTTGTAAAAATAGTCTATACATCATGCCCCTGACTACTAAATGTATTGAAAAGCATTAATGCGTAGTTCATGCCGGTGATGTATGTGTGGTTTTAAGAGGATGCTGATATAAACATTTTATTTATACAGAATATCAGTACTTTGTAGCTTGCTTTAGTGTGTAACCATAATGGAGACAAATTGTGTTAATAAATGAATGCCTCTGACTACGTAGAATAGACAGCTTGAAAACATAAATGTCTTTTAGAGATGGGGATGTATGACCCCAGATGTAGATTTGTGAAGTACTTGTGTACGTTTGAGTTTACCCTCGATCAAGATTGAGTTGCTTAAGTCAACTTCATGTGGACAAAATAATGTGGTATATGACGTGGGCAAAGTTTGTACTTTGGAGAGAAGAAAACAAGGTTGAGATGGGTTTCTTGGCAAGGGAAAGCCTACCATAACATTCAACTTGCTTCAGATCTCAGCAGGACGTGGCTGAACTAACATGAACATTTCTGACCAGCATTAATCACCCATGCCTACTAGGCTTTGGTGTGCATAAGCTCATTCACTGCCATTAGTGGTAAATGATCTGTGCTCTTTAGTATCTGAGCCTTTGTTGTCATAGGAACTGATTCAATATAGCTCAGTTGGTTAGAGCATGGTGCTGATGACGCCAAGGTTGCAGGTTTGATCCCCCTTTGGGACAGTTGCATATTCCAGCATTGCAGGGGGTTGAACTAGATGATCCTCTGGGTCCCTTCCAACTCTATGGTTCTATTATTAAAAAGGATCCCTTGTACATATTAGAGGGACCATAGCTCAGTAACAGAGCCCATGCTTTGCATGCATATAGACCCAGGTTCTATTCCTGGTGTCCTCAACCAAAAATATCAGGGAACAGGTGATGGGTAAGATCTCTGCTTGAGATCTTTGGGAGCTGTGGACTGTTAGAATAGACAGTTTGGGGCTAGATGGACCAGTGATCTGACCTGTTAGAGGGTATATTCCATTGTTACAAACACATATTTGCTCTAAGAGGGGGTCAAGCAAAAATGTATATATTAGTAATTTGCTGTTTCTGCATACCACAATATTACTGAAATGCAGATCACTTAAGTTTTCAGTCACCATATTAAGTTAATCCCTGCTCCCAGCATTGAAATCTACAAAAATGTTCCTTTTTTAATTGAATGCTTTTTTGCATTATGTAACAGTCATTAAGAAGATAAAGAAAAAGAAAGAGAATTTACAGTGGTTTGTTAGAATTCTGCATAGGACAGGGGAAGAAAGCTTTATCTGTTAAAAAGTATTTACTAGAGAGAGGAGAGTACTCAACAGATTTGAAAGCTTTCACTTTTTTTTTAATTAAAAAAAACGTGTTTTTTAAAGGAACCCAGTGATAATGGACCACTCTTTACAGAACTGAGTTTCTACATGCGGACAGCTAAACCTGACCTAAGTAAGTAATCTACTGGTGTTTGAATCAACAAAACAATTTCTTTAAACCTTTTTGAATATCCTAATGTAATAATATGAGAGGTGTAATAATATATTTAATGATTCATGGGCAATGAAAACCATAGTTCTCGGAGGACTCTGAATGGTAACTTTAAGGGCATACCTAATTACAACTGGATGTTTCTTCATAATGGTGCAGTGTTGGGTAGTTATTGAAGGTAATTGTTTATAAACAGGGCCTACTGAACTGGAACACTTTCTCTTGTCCTTTTTTATGCTCGAAGGTCACAGCCCATTGAGGCTGCAGCCACTAATTTCCAAGGGGAAAGTGGAATTTTCGTAGCGCAAGGTGGCTGTTCAAAGGGGGAAGAAAGCATAAGCAATTTTAATTAAATAATATGCTTGGATTTGCTAGGAGACGAGATGTTTGCTATATTAAAATTGCCAAGAAGGCAGAAAGAAACTCGTGGAACGCATAAATGATAGAAAGGGCACAATGCAGTTCCTAAGTTGAGCCCTTTTAAATCCCACTAATTTCAGTGAGAGAGACCTAAGTACATGCCTAACTCAGTTTGTTAGAGCATGAGACTTTTAATCTCAGGGTCATGGGAACGAGGCCCACATTGCGTAAAAGACTTCTGCATTGCAGCGGGTTGGACTAGATGATCCTTGTGGTTAATAATAATAATAATAATTTATTATTTATACCCCGCCCATCTGGCTGGGTTTCCCCAGCCACTCTGGGTGGCTTCCAGCAAAATATTAAAATACAATAGTCTGTCAAACATTAAAAGCTTCCCTAGACAGGGCTACCTTCAGATGTCTTCTAAAAGTCTGGTAGTTGTTTTTCTCTTTGACATCTGATGGGAGGGCATTCCACAGGGCGCGTGCCACTACTCTGCCTGGTTCCCTGTAACTTGGCTTCTTGCAGCGAGGGAACCGCCAGAAGGTCCTCGGCACTGGACCTCAGTGTCCGGGCAGAACGATGGGGGTGGAGACGCTCCTTCAGGTATACTGGACCAAGGCCGTTTAGGGCTTTAAAGGTCAGCACCAACACTTTGAATTGTTCTCGGAAACATACTGGGAGCCAATGTAAGTCTTTCAAGACTGGTGTTATGTGGTCTCAGCGGCCGCTCCCAGTCACCCTTCCAACTCTTTGATTCTGTTGAGCCTTAAAATGCTTAGTGTTGATTAGATCACATGCTTAGTAACTAAGGGAGCAATCCTATGCACAAAAAGGTTGGCATAAGGCAAGCTGGTGCAAGTTAAAGTTATACCAGACCCAAGCTCCATTCAGCGGCAGGGCTGCTGCTTTGCCTAAGCCTGGCAGATGGAAAACAGGCCTCAAAAAAGGTGTTCTGTTATGGGTCACCAGGTCACATGACCAAACTGATTGGGCTTAGGAGCCCTCCTAAGTCCCTCACCCCCCATTCTGGTACAGCCCCCAGAATGCCACTTTTTTGGGTACACTGACCTTGGCTCTGCCAGCCGAGCTGGGATGAGCAAGTTATATGAGCATATCCTTAGCACTGGTTGAGCCAGAGATCCGCTGCGTCCTAATCTTTTCAACCTGGCAGATCTTGCCATAAGATTGCCCCCTTAGTGAGTTAGTAGTAAATGTTTAGTACTTATCCATAGGCGTCCATCATTTTGCCTTCAGTCTGATTTCACTAATCACATCCTTACACAAATATGGCAATAATTGCTTTGCAGAAAGCTGTAACAATGCATATTTGGAAACTTTTTTCTTGTTTCAGTTAAGAAATGGATTTCTTCTCACAAACTGAAATACTTAGGTGTACCCAAGTACTGGGGTTCTGGCTTGCATCAAAAGAATGGCAAAAGGTACAAACCATTTCTTATTTTTGAGTTTATAGGATTTTTCATAGCCACTACTCCCCCTGTGTGAGTTTCTCACATTCTTAGCACATCTCAGTAACTGATGGCCTTTGGTGTTGTGTCAGCATTCAGACTTAAAAGTTGATCAATGTGAAAATATCAGAGGAATTGCCATGTGAGAAAAAATTCTATATAGAGAATTAAACCTGTACTAATAGTTACATTAATGTTACTGATGAACAGATCAATGTTACTGGAAATATGTACGGACAGATGCATGCAAAAGGCATTGTTAGATGAATTTTAGAACTTTTCCCCTGAATTGTATCCGGTTGTGTCCCTCTACTTGATGGGAAACTCTTGAATGTAGTAGCAGCAGTGTTTTTTTTCTGGGGGGTTGCAGGGCTATGCATACCCCTAAACCTTTTGTGAATCTAAGTTTGGCCTCATTGAGGCCAATATGAGTAGGAAAATGAGAGTACCCTTAAACATTTCTTTTTAAAGAAAAAAGGCGCTGAGTAGAAGCTTATGTCACTACTGGAAATACAATGTTATCTGATTCTGCCTTCTCTTCTAGAACCTCCTGCACCTCCCAAAGTCTTCTCCAGAGGGTTGGGGAAGTAGCACAAGAGGCTGCAGGAGAAAGGGGGCATTTTTTTAAAAAAACCACCCACCCAGACAGCTCACAGAAGATTCTACATGATCAAAGAGCCCTTCTGTTTGGGGAGGGACTGAATTTGTCTATAACCCTCTATCTTTTGTGGCTCTTTTTTTTAAAAAAAAACAACAACCCAAGGGCTTCTGGAGGTACACCCTTACATACAGCTCAGTCGCTAGAGCATGATACTCTTAATCTCAGGGTCATGTTGTTTGAGCCCCACATTGGGTAAGATTCCCGCATTGCAGGGGGTTGGACTAGATTACCCTTGTGGTCCCTTCCATCTCTATGATTCTAGGAGCAACTTTTCACAGTCAACTAATACAGCTTCTATTTCTGTGTGAGTCACAAAAGCCCTCCCATGTGCACTCCACGCTTTCCGTAATTTTGCTTTCTGGTTTCTGACCAGAACTCCTTTCCTTGGAATAGTTGCTTGAATGTTCTGCAGCTTTCAGCAGCAGCTTGTTATGAGTACTACCCTGAAAGGGTGGGTGGGTGCTGTGGGGTCCGTAGTGGTGTTTTCATTTTTAATAAAACGTTGACATGCCGTATCCTGCTGCTCAGAAGCAATGAGAACTAAAGCAATTTGTTAAAAGTGCATTTTCGATGGCTGTGAACCAGATAGAGTCCTCGGTGGGATCAGGGCATTCTGACCTCGTTGCATGGCATTAGCACCAGCCAGACCCAAAGCAAAATAAAAATGAGTCAGTTATGTATTGCTTCCTGTACAGCCAGCTTTTGCTCAGAGCGTGGAATATTCACAAGCATTATAGGGCATTTTTTTGGAAAAGCAGCTCGACACCACCATGATTTGCTTTTTCAACTCCTTCAGTTTTTTGTTTTTTAAGTGAGCAATTCGAAAATATAGAAGGAATGGTACGTAGAAATGGAAATTATGAAATAGCCATTCATCAAATTATTAAATAAAAAAGTAGAAGAGGAGAGAGAAGCAGCCTGACCCAGCCTTGTCATTTGACACAGAGCAGGATCCTTCCCATTTAGTCAACAGCTTCCTGTTTCTGCAATTGAATCTTATTGAGTTTGGTGGGGCAGTGCCCCACTGGCTGTAACAGATCAACCTCCACTGCTTGAAAGAATTACATTTTCAGTTTGAGATCATAGTATTTATGGACGATCTGCTTCCACACAATCATTCCTGCCTCCTAAGATATTTTGGTGAGGCCCAGACCTCTGCCCCACCAGCATCTCTTTCACCCGCTATCATGGGACAGGAGACCAGACCCTGGAACACTCTAGTCTTGTCCCTGTTCATCCTTAGGAAACTCGCTTAGCTCTTCTTATTCTGACAGTCCTTCACTGTTCCATTTGTTCTCCTGTTTAGACTTCTCAGTGGCTTATTGTGTGTATCTTTTGTTGCTACATAATTTAAATAAATACATTTAACGTATCTACAGTAGATATTAAATTTCTGTTGTTAAATGTGCATGTTTATTCATTTTGTACTTTGCTTTGGGGCTTTTTTTTTTCTTTGCTGGAAAGCAACCTAAAATTTAAAATACTTGCACTAAAAAGGTATATATATATATTAAGGTATCTCGTAGGGATTTTCTTAAAGGCTATGTTTTCTTTTTCTGAAACCAGCTACAGATTTATGGTAATGGACAGATTTGGGAAAGATCTCCAGAAGATTTTTGAAGAGAGAGGAAAGCACTTTACCCGCAAAACAGTATTACTGTTGGGCTTGAGAATAGTAAGTTGAAAATTAAATATTATTAATGCTATCTAATGTAGTTTCTTTGCTTTAAAGTTAACCTGTAAAGAGTAGTTGCCCTCTGCTGTGTGTGGTTTATATATGCTGAAATTGTTCTGTTATGTCTTTACTAGCTTGATGTTTTAGAATACATTCATGAACATGAATATGTGCATGGAGACATCAAGGCCTCAAATCTTCTCCTGGGCTACAAGGCTCCACATCAGGTAACTTCCAGGTTTTTTCTTTCTTCATTGTTTAACCTATTGTTTTTTTTTTAATGGAGCTGCTGTGAACCTCAGCAGAAATCTTGCCTTTATGAATGTGTACAGCATTAATATTTCTGCTTGACATTTATATCTAGTTAATGTTGTACATTTTTTATTCACTTTGCTGGCAGTTGATCAAATTGGCTATTCTGCCCTGAATAATATTCAGGAGAATGCTTGCGATACAAAATGAATTTCAAATAGCTATTTGGGGGTGGAAGTTTAAAATTATATAGTACACCGGTGAATTACATTTGCCTGTCTGCTTTGTCAATTTTTTATTTCCTTTGTTTGAAGAATCCATCAAGCATAAGTGTTCTGTTACTTGGAAAACCTGATTTTTAACATGTTGATTGTTCAAATCAATTGGTTTACAGAAATATCTGTAGCTGTCTAATTTTATTATTATTATTATTTTACATCTTTAGTGTTTGGCAAATGCACATACAAAGTCCATAATTTCCCCTTGTTTGAGTGCTTATCTTGGAGTGAATAAGTGAGTGTTATACTTTTTTTAAAGTGGCCCAACTAGCCTTGCAAATGAATTTGTGACACTTACTAGTCTACAAAAAAGGAAAAAAAAGAAAAAAAAACTTTACTAGTCTGCTACCCACATGTATATGGACTAAACTGGCCAGAGGTCTAAATGTCACTGGGCAATTGCATTTTTTTTATATATACCCAAGAAAGAGTGCCAGCAAGGAAAGATCAGCTCCTGCCCTTATCTAATAAAGATGCCCATTTAAAGTTCACTGCTGTTCTGGCATTGCTGAACTGATCTCCACCCTCTACCTATTCCCTCCCTTCCCTTCCCTTGGATGTCTTGTGTTTTTTAGTCTGCCAGCCTGAGGTCAAGGCCTGTGTCTCATTTTAATTTATGTACAGTGCCTCCCACCAGGACTGTATTGAATTTTTCATTGATGTGAGCTGCTTTGGGAGACAATATTTTTGTCCGAAAGGTAGGATGAAAATATAATTATTAAAAACGGTTGAATAATTTGTTAAATCCTTTAATATCAAATTAAATATTCAACCAGTGGGTAGAAAACTCTTGGTCCTATTGGAGGAAGGGAGAGCATTCTCCATTTAAGGTATAGGGAAGAAGATGGCACTGATACTGACTGGAGTCACTGTGCCAATTAGTGAGTCTCAAACAGATGCAAACCATCCTCTGCCATCTGAGTGGGTAGTGTCTGTTTGTTAAAAAATGAGCAGGAGTCTTCTGTAACTGAGTGAAAGCACTTACCATCTTACTGATCATTCGTGATAGGTTTAAAAAAGAAATTATAGATCAAACTTATCTTGGTGACTTGACGCAAATCGGAGCCTTCGGGTCTCCACCAGCTCACCTGGGGCAATTTGGTCAGATCCATGCAGCCAACCAAATGTTTCTTTTTCAAGGATTATAAGACAATATAGTATTTACCTATATAGTTTAAAATATCCCCCTCCCACTGTTGTTTTAAAGCTTGTATTGGATTGCTCTAGATCAGAGACCAGGAATCTGTGGCCTTCCCATTGTTGTTGGACTTTAACTCCTATCAGTCCCAGCCAGCACGGCCAGAGATGATGGGAGTTGAATCCCAGCCTTGCATTTAAGCAGTAGCCTGGTAGCCATAAGTGACAAAGAATTGCATACAGGTGAGCAAACAGGCTGTTGGAGGACAGATGGAGTGCTCCTTCCCTGCCTTGTGTCCATAGAAACCAAGCAGGCTGCCAGAAGAGAAAAAAACCCTCTTCCATGCCCATCATAGAAATACAGCGGGCGCAGACTTCCGGGGTGGCGCCTCCGAAAAATGGCGGAATTCCCTTCGAACTGAAGGGAACCCGCTGCACGGAGGCTTGGGTCCTGCCGCTACGGCGCAGCGGGGACCCTTAAAAACCACAGGCGGAAGAAGCCTGTGGGCGTGGGACTCGGCGGGCACCGAGAGCGCTCTCTCCCTTGTACAGGAGCCCGGTAACGGGCTCCGGAGTGGGAGGTGCGTGGTGCTGTGAGTCGTCTGCTTCCTCCGTGCAGCAAAGCCGCACTGCCGCTTTCGGAGAGCGCTGCCTTTTCCTGGACAATTTGGCATCTAAAACATCTATCCGTGAGTACCCGATCCTGGAAGAGCTGAACTACTTTTAAGATTGGTGAATAAATAAATAACATTGGATTTGAACTTGAAATTGAATTTAATTGGGACTCGGAACGGAAAGGTCTAAACAGGAAGTCGCCTTCCGTTCTTTTGTTACGTGAAGAAAGCAAAGACAAATTATACTAAAGCCTGGAAACTAAATTCTGAGAGAACTAAAATTCAACATCTAAGATTTCTGAACCCCCTTCGATTGCAGGAGAAGAAGGGGTTGTTTTGATCTTTTCAACCCTGCGGGAGAGAGTTTAAAATAAAGTAATTTTCCACCGCCCTGAACCAGGAGTGGGCTGTCAGAACTGACGTTTTGAAGCTTATCCAGCTCGACAGATAGTTAAAAGAAGGGTAACATTTTGATTCTACTGTTGCCTCTTGAATTTGAAAGGGGGAATTTTGGATAAAGTGTTTCTAGAAAAAGAAAGATTGTTACTGTTGTTTTTCCCCCTCTTAAAAAAAATAAAAAAAAAGGGTTTTCCATCTAGTGGAACTGAGTGAAATTGCAATGCAGAGAGTTTAAAAGAGAAGGATCATTCTCGTGGGAAAGAATTTTTTCTGACCTTGAAGGACAATGCTTGTACAAAGGCTTGAACAAGTGTTCCTGGAAGGTTTTGCAAAATTAAGTGCCCAGCTGGACCAGATGCGTCAGGAGTCGACCTTGATGAGGACGGAAGTTACCAGAGCACAGCAGCAAACAAATGAAATTCAGTTAAAGTCTATACAAGTATATGAACCTGCTGTAGCGACGGAGGCTTCAGAGATGGAGGGACCTATGGATGGGCAAGATCAGCCTTTGAACTTGATAAATGAACTTGGGATAAACCTGATTCGGAAAGATGAAATGTGGTCAGATTTGGAAATGGGGGGATGGATTGACACCCCTCTATATGGTTATTTGGACTTTCCGAGTCTAGTGATGGGCCATCAGAGGAATGGAGTAGTCGAAGTCTCCAAGTTTCGTGGAAATAGGAAGTGGTATTATCTGCTGTCTGGCTTGGGCAATGGGTTTGGGATGGACTTGCTGCAAAGAGTCAAAAGCATCTTCTTGCTGGAGTATCCACGACTGAAAGGGAAATATCAACAAGAGTGGCGAAAGGGGCAAGAAAGAGACTTGAGGGCCTCGGATATGAGACAACCAGGTTAAGGAGCCGGATTATTGAGGCTAAAAGGACTGACAATCCCGGGTCCAGGGGAGGGGAGGCTGGAAGTTGACTGGATTGAATCTGACTTATTGTTTTTGCTGTCTTATTTTCTAATATTGGGAATGTTTGTAAATGTTTGAAGGATGTTGAATGAAATTATATGACTTAAGTAAGGATTGGTAAATGATTTGAAAAAAGGTAATGATGTAAGAATTTGCTAAATATTGAATATAAGCTTTGAGTTTTAAAGTTTTTATATGACAAGAGGGAAGATAGAATAAGGAAATGCAATGATAGATTGTTATGAAAAAACAGAAAGGATCTGCTGTAAAAATTAAATACTAAGAAACAAGAGACGGAAGGAGGAGGAAGTCTAGAAAGGAAGTTAATGGAGATCGTAAAGGATTTTATATTTCTGTTTTTCTGTTTTTCTTTTTTCTTCTTTTTTGCGGCTGGGTTTTTTCTTCTTTACTATTTCTGTATTATTTTTGTTTTATTTGTATTTTCAAATTTTTTTTGGAAATTTTTGTTGTTACTTGTTACTTTTTGGAAAATTTAATAAATATCAATTCAAAAAAAAAAAATAGAAATACAGCGGGCTGCTGCAGCAGAGACAGTTTCCTGTGCCAGTCCCCAGCAGGATAGCAAAAAATTGTTGCAGGCTAGTAACTTTTGTGGGTTTATTTGCAAGGTTGTTTTAATCCACTGGTCTTCCCATCCCTGCTCTAGATAGAAACACAGCATACAGGTAGACTTGCTTTAACTTGGTTTCTTCCTTTATTTAAACAACAACAAAAAGCAAGTATCTCACTATGGGATTGTGTTATATTGGAGTACGTGGAATCAATGATTAGTCACATCCAGTCATGAATGCCCCTTCCGTAGGCAAGGTAGTGGAGAGAGCAATTGGAGAAATTCCTGGAAGATGTGGACTAGCTAGATCAATTTCATTCTGGGTTCAGGTTAGGATTTTTGACTGAACCAACCTTGGTCACCCTGATAGATGACCTGGATTGATAGAGGGACGGCGGGGTGCATCTTTTGCTCCTGCTTCTCAAACCACCTGCAACTTTTGATACAATGGACAAGGGTGGCTTTCTGGGATAGGTATTGGGGGCACTGATTTACAGTGGTTCCATTGCAACCTGCACATAACCCTGGTGCTTAAAAACTTGCACCGGCTGCCCATATGTTACCCCGCCAGGTTCAAGGTTCTTGTATTAATTTACAAGGCCTTTAACAACATGGGTCCAGAGTATCCAAAGGACCACTTGATCCCTTCTATCCCAGCTTGATCACTGAGATCTTTTGTGACATCTCTGTTGGCGATCCCCTGTAGCTCAGGTGGCATGGCTCATAACTGCTAGAAGCCATGTGTTCAGAGCTGTGGGCCCAAACCTATGGAGCTCTCCTCCCAACTGAGATTAGACAGGCACCTCCTTGCTGAACTTTACATGCATGGCAGTAGAAGCTAGTGTTCCGTTTTATGATGATTTTTTATTATTTTATATTCTGTGTGGTTTATGTTTATGTGGATTGCTTAGAAATATGTAAATGACAGTATATAAATATATAAATGACAGTATATAAATGACTTTAATAAAGCAATAAGTAAAAATGAATAGTTTGTAGATGTTTGTTCAAGTATAACCTAAGCATTTGAAGTCTGAAGGATAAGAGAATTTTTGAAAGTATTGTAAAAGCATCCTTATAAATTCTTGGATGACGCTTGTCTTGGTGCATTGGAATTTTAATAGGTGTACTTGGTGGATTATGGCCTTGCCTATCGATACTGTCCGGAAGGTAACCACAAAGATTATAAAGAGAATCCCAAGAGGTGTCATGATGGAACTCTTGAATTTACTAGTATTGATGCTCACAAGGGGGTGGGTAAGTAGTTTTGCTTTGCTTTTTGCATAACGTTTCTTGTGGTTGCTGTGAATGCAAGGTAACGAGCTTGAAAATGTGGCCATGTTGAAATACTGGTCTAAAGTAGCCCACTTACATATCAAAAATTAATTTAAAATCCCACAGTAGGAACAAAGCTGTGAATAATTAGCAGAATAACTTGAAACGATGTTACAAGCCAGATTGTAGTAGTGTTGGAGAATAATAATACAGTAGCACTTCGGCTTACGTTACCCTCGGGTAATGTAAACTTCGGGTTGCGAAAGCGGCAAACCAAGAAGTGTTTAGTCACGCATGCATGCACAGAAGCAGCCCCTCTGGTTGCGGAAACCTCGGGATTCGACCGGAGCTCCGGAACGGATCCTGTCCACAACCGGAGGTACCACTGTACCAACATTGTCTGCAAACGGGACATCTGCGTGCTGAAATCTTTGTACTTGGCCTTTGACTGTCTTACTTGGCCAGTCAAATATTAATATATTTTATCATATTGCCAAGTATGTAAAACAAGACTACTTTTTTTTTTTTTTACATATTAGCTCTTAAAAAATATGTTTAGATCTTAGATGGTAAAGAATGGATGAATGTACATTCAAAGATGAGAGAGGAAGCAGCCTTATGCTGATTCAGACTGTTGGTCCATCTAGCTTAGTGTTGGCTATACTGACTGACAGGGCATTCCCAGGGTTTCATGCAGGAGTCTTTTTCCAACCCTGCCTGGAAACGGTAGGATTTGAACCCAGGACTTTCTGCATGCGAAGCACATTCTGAACCCAGCTACTTTCACATAGCCAGGGGGCTCCTTTTTTTCTAAGCAGGATTTCTAAGTACAGAAGAGGTTAGCTGTTTTTAAGTTCACAAGCTTTCGGCTTCAGGTGGGTACTGCTGCTGAAAACAATGGATAAAAGCAAAGCTCTTGCTTACTATTATTATTATTACAGTGTGTATGCCTTCCTATACCTGTAGACCTCAGGGCGGTTCACAACATAAAATCACAATATACAAAACACAAAATCCTTAATAAAAGTAAGAACGAAAACAAACCAATAATTCCCCTCCCTTTCCACAACACATTTAAAGGGGAATTGGATGTCAGTCAGCCAAAAGCCTGGTTAAAGAGGCATGTTTTCACCTGGCGCCTAAAGGTGTGTAAGGAAGGTGCCAGCCGAACCTCCCTGGGGAGAGCACAACTGAGGAGCCCTTGCAGAAAATGCCTGTTCTCGTGTTGCCACCTTCCAGACTTCTCGTGGAGCAGGCACACAAGGATGATCTCAGTGTCTGGGAAGGTGCATATGGTGAAAAACTGCCCTTGAGGCATTGCTTTCCATTATTCCATGCATGCATATATGTTCTTTGGATCCAGGCTTTTTAAAGCAATCTTGATTGATTTTCAGATTATGAGTTGCATTGGTACGTTACAGTGGTGAGAGCAATGGCACATTGTTGCATTTCTTCTCGTAAGACAGAAGTTTTAAAAGTACAATTCCGGGGGTTGGTGTGATTCTCGTGCTGTCCACAGTCAGAGATCAATGGTAAAAAATAATAATAATTAAAACTAAAAAGGGTCCCATCAGGAGGTGTGGCATGGGTCACTGTGCCTCAAAGTACATGTCTTCTAAGTTTACTAGGTTCAGGATCTTGAAAATGTTGAACCCAAAGAGGTTTTGGACTTGTGCTAATGCAATGAGTGGCTCCCCATTCTTGTCATGCCGCTGAGGATAGTCTCAAAAGCAATTTGTGAGACAGCATGGGATTTTCTGTTCTAAAAGAAACCCCACTGGACAGGTGCAAATCCTTGGGTACCACTAAAGTAGCTGTTTGGATCCCAGCCATAGTAATCTCTGACACCACTTAGAAACCTCATCAATTACACACCTCTTCTCCCTGCACCATTTAATCTCCAACCAGGCAGAACCGCAGCTGGGGACTCTCCATACCTCACCTCTCTATTCACTGATGACACTGGAATAATGATCCACCCTTAGAAGACCCTGAACTATAAGCGCCTGTAGGGCTGTGACCAATAGTACCATGCCAAATCTTTGCCGATGTTCCACACATTCCAAAGAGATCCCGTCCATCAGTTTTGAAAGACCCTGTGACAGTACATTGATGGCTCCTTTTCGATTCTTAAGAAAATATTTTATAGTTCCCAAACTTGATCTATAAATCATCTGTATATCTTTAAATTGACTATAAAACATAACTGTGAAGTTAATGCTCTGTTTTGTTTGCAGCTCCATCAAGGCGTGGTGACTTGGAAATTCTGGGTTATTGTATGATCTGTTGGCTTTGTGGTAAACTCCCTTGGGAAGACAATCTGAAAGACCCCAATTATGTCAAAGACTCAAAAATTAGGTAAAACTTTTATTTTTAATTTTCAAAAACAATTTTGTCTTATTCAAAATAGTAATCTTTCAGCTCGGCTGATAGCGAGGCCCCCAAATTCAAAATTTTAGTCAGATGTATGGTTGGGGCTTGACTACCCAAAAGGAATGAGATTACTCTATTTTCCAATATTCACCTAACTGAATGAAAAGCCCTTCTTTAAATAATACGATAAGGTATTCACATTGATTATGGGTATTCCTCATTTTACATAAAAGAAAACAGATGACAGGGCTGGCCCAGGACATTTTGCCACTTGAGGCAACCCCTCCTGTCTACTCCCCACCCCCCTCCTCTTCCACAGCCCCTCGCTTCTGCCAGCGCACTGAGGCTTCCCTGGGTGGTGGTCAAGGAGGTGCAGCAGCAGGCAGGCTGCAGGGGCGTGGCCAAGACAGTGGCACGTGGCAAAGGAGCAGGAGGAGGTGCCGAGCATCTGGCAGCAGTGAGCAGCAGGTACACAGCGGCACCGCCACCCACAGGAGCCTGCCGCCCTGAGGCATCCGCCTTATGGGCGGGCCAACCCTGACAGGTGAACATACTGAACATGCAGCAAATGGAAAGTGTAGCTGTTGAACAAGTAGCTCACCATCCACTTTTCATCATTCTCATTGCACATATCATCCAAACCTAGGAATCTCATTAAATGCACCCACCTGTGCATTGCTGTTTTTTTGTTTTCTTTTTTGCAATAGTCTGATGGGGCCTTGGTAGCCAGAAACTGCAAACAAGGGCATAGTAGTATAATCTGTTACTGCTGAAAATTTCTAGGCAATGAGTACATACTACCTACTCATCCCACATCTCTCTTAGTTTGCAACAGATTCCTGATGTGATTAGCATGACCATAGTTTTATTAACGTTGGGCTCAGATCTGTTTTTGAACAAGCTGCCCTGAAATAACCTAGATGCTAAATCATTACCACAGTGTTCCTCATTTGCTAGCAGCAGCTTAGCCCTAGCTTTTGTGAATTACAGGGTAATTACCCCTCCCTGCTCTGCATAGCTGGAATGGGGAACCTGTGGGTTGGCTGCAACCCACAGCCAGATTTCATCTAGCTCTCTGGGTCCTGTCTCAACCATCTGTGGGGAGGGAAAGGGGCTTAGCTGTTGTGCAAAGTGTGTGGTTGCAAGTCCATCCTCTGCAAGTAGATCTGCTGGTGTGGGGCCTCTTCACAGCATTCCGCTGGGGAAATGTGGCCCTCAGCTCTGAAAATGTTTCCAGCCTCTTACGTCAGTGTAATTTCAATTTGCCTATTATTTCTGCTTGAAAATTCTGACTTTCTCTGCTTTCCCAACACAGGTTGGTCTAATTAAAGGCCCCAGCTTTCCTGTTTGATATACATGCATGATTCTCTGGGAATTTCATGATATAGTAACACATCCATCAAAAATATAATGCAATAATCTTTTCATTCATCCACAGTTTTGATTGCCTGTATATTTTGAGCAAATGTTACTAAATGAGATTGTACGATATTAGAAAATGAGATATTTTATTCAGTACTGAAGTATAATTTTAAAATTTAAGAGATTTGCCCCATTTTTACTCTCATCATTGTGTTGATACACACTTATTTACCTAAGAGAGAAAATTCACCAAAAATGCTAGCTGCTGATCTCTTAAACATAACTTGTCTGCTTCCCCCCTCCCCCCCGTCAGGTATACAGATAATATTGCCGACTTGATGAGTGAGTGTTTCTCTAAAAAAGATAAACCAGGTAAGAAGATTCAATTTTCATATTAACCCATAATGAAACTTTTGTAAAAAAATTTTTACAAGAATTATAAAAAAGAATTCAAAGGGGTTTTGTTGAAACAAAAAGTGTCCAGGATCTGCTTGTTTTTGGAGAGCTTCTGGTGCTCATTTTCCAAACAAAGTTAAAACGACCCCTTGAACAACTTGCTACATATTTGTACATTTTGCATTTTGGAAATATAGTTGAGGTTGTCATGAAATTGCAGGATAAAAGGATTGGCTTGCAAGGAAATATTTTTTCTTTTAAATGCAGGGGGGCAAAATTCACAGCTATTAAGATCATTTAGCGTTCACATATAGACCACCAGTGGGATTTGAGATGCCAGAAGGATGCAGATTCTTCAGTCATAGCATGCAACACACATGAAACATGTCTGGCTTTCAGATCATGACAATTTTTGCTTGCTGGAGAGATGTGTGTATTTGTGCCTGCAGACAAAACAAGCACTTTATGTCTAAAATACTGGAAAATGTGATATAATTTCCGGGAAGTTTAAAAACTCCTGAATGAATTGAACTTAGAAAGTGTAAGTCATTGGGCTCAAGTCTATTTTCATTGAAATAAACACTCCTGAGCAAGACTAGTGTATTTTGTAAACGCCTCCTTCCAAAGTAAAATTGCAGGGTTGTTTGTAGTGCTTTCTTACTGAAATGCTAGGATGGCTTTTTCATGACGAAGGGTGATATTCAGCGTAAGTCCTACTCCGAGTAAACCCTTGAAATCAGATTCTGCACAATAGCCATGGCTGAGCGGTAGCATAGAATTGTGTGAATTTTCTAGGTGAATCACTTTAGAATGTCTTTGTAGTATAATTCAATCTCCTTAGATAGACACTTACTGTTTATTTCAGATGAAATAGCCAAATACATGGAAACGGTGATGTCTCTGACTTATGCTGAGAAACCACCATACGAGCAGCTACGGGAAATACTTCTTCGGGGTCTCAAGGACATTGGTCAGAAGGATGATGGTATACTGGACTTGGATGTTTCAGAGAATGGAGACATTCCAGCAAAGCCTGCACTTAAGGTCTTTATTTTTTAATTCAGATCAGTATTTAATGCCTCTTCTTTTCAGCTGGAAAGCGAGTGAGTGCTGTTGGAAATGGGTGTCACGTAGGTGAAATCCAGACTGGAAGACGAAAGGGAACAAATGCACACTTGAGACTTGACTATATTTCATGAGCAAAAGGCTTGTTCCATCTTATTGTCACTGGCCTGAGTCCAAAGAGCTACTTTAGCCTTGCCCAAGAGCTTACACGTGCGCCACTGGGAGGTTTTTTTCCTTCTCTTTTATGGAGACCTCTGTGCCACATCACAAACTGCTGTTGAAATGCCACTTCACACAGTGTAAGGGGCTGAAGTGGAAAAAACACACATCCACCCAAGTCTCCTTGGAACTCATGTGAAAGCTAGGAAAAAGCTCTTTGGATCTTGGCTGGTGTCTACCCAGAAGGTTTTCTTTTTTTGTGCATTTCAACATGGTAGATACAGTTTTCACGCAGGAAGTCCTTGTGTGGCTCAGGTATGGAGAACCTGCGGTCCCGCAGATAATGCTGACTACAGCTCTCACTATCTCTGAATGTTGACTGTACTGTTTGGGGCATCCAGAGGGCTACAAATTCCCCATCCCTGCTGTAGGCTATCAAATCTTTAATTGACGTGATAGCTGAACAGCGAGAGAGACTGTTCTACAGATAAACCACCAGATGTGTTACTCCTGTAATGCCATGTAAACCAAGCATTCAGTCTACAGTGGTACCTCGGGTTAAGAACTAAATTCGTTCTGGAGGTCCGTTCTTAACCTGAAACTGTTCTTAATCTGAAGCAGCACTTTAGCTAATGGGGCCTCCCGCTGCCGCCGCACGATTTCTGTTCTCATCCTGAAGCAAAATTCTTAACCCAAGGTACTACTTCTGGGTTAGCGGAGTCTGTAACCTGAAGCGTATGTAACCCGAGGTACCACTGTACTTCTATATAATATCCAATATTTTACTTACCAGAATTTTATCCATAAGCTTGGTATTGGACACCAGGCTATTTGATCAGAATATAATTACTGAGTACTAGCATAATGCTGTTCATGAACAGTAATTAAAAAGATTAGAAGTGGGATTTTGGGTTTGTCGTAGTGATACATTTCTGTGATGGATATTTACTTGGTTGTATCCCATGGGTAAAACATTGATGCACCAAATGTGTGTATTTCAATATTTTTCATATGAACTCTGTATAAATGCTGATTTTAATGCCTGTAGTTCTGAACAGAACTCTTATCTATAAGTGTGTGTGTGTGAGAGAGAGAGAGAGAGAGAGGCAGAGGCAGAGAAAGAAAGAGAGGTCAGTTCCTTCTTTTCCTCTTTAGAGTCCATCTCTTTGCAAAAGCATATTTGACTGCTTTGTTATTCATAAACAGGAAAAACCTTCAGCGAATATATGTATTGACAGAGATGTCATGAAATGACATTATTTATGATTCAAGTGTAAGATTTATTTGAAGGCTGCTGTGTATATACAGGAATCAGCACCCACAGCTCAAGATGATGATGTACTGATAGTTGAGACTGAGGAAGGTTTTTCAGCTAATGCTGATGACCCAGAAAGCAAGAGCTGTAAAAGGAAGTTGGATAAGAAGGAAAGCATTGGCACCAAATGGCTGCGCTCAGAGCAACCGACTGAAGAGAAGGATGAAGTGATAGTACTAGACTGAGCACTGGAATGCTTCAGCCAATAGGATGATGGTTTGGGTGTGCCATTTCTCAGGGTGTGGCTGCTGTCATGAGCTGACAGCTACTAGGAGCCACAAGTGGGAGCTGAGTGCAGGGTAGGGACCAAAAGTCAACAACCTACAACAGAAGGAGCATGACGTGTCTGCTACCAGAAGTACTCCTCCTCCTCTAACACCCCATACACCTGCCAGCTTCTGCCAACCTAGCAGTTCGAAAGCATACCAGCGCAAGTAGATAAATAGGTACCGCTGCGGTGGGAAGGTAAATGGTGTTTCTGTGCGCTCTGGTTTCCATCACGGTGTCCCGTTGTGCCAGAAGCAGTTTAGTCATGCTGGCCACATGACCCAGAAAGCTGTCTGTGGACAAACGCTGGCTCCCTCAGCCTGAAGCGAGATGAGCACCACACCCCATAGCCAGGTTTGACTGGACTAAACCATCCAGGGGTTTACTGCAAAACAATATTGATTTGTCGGCTAGTACAGCCTGAAATATATATAGGAATAGTCATAGCAGTAATTGTGGAATTAACAGTATTGTATAGTGAAGTCCTGTCACCAGGAAGCACTGTCTACAATGTTCATTAGCATACTTGAAATTAATAGATCGTGTTTGACATGTTGACTGGTGTAGCCTATATGTTTAAAAGCTAGAGTTTCTTAATCTTTCAGTTGAACCATATTTTAACGAAGAGGAGTGAAATTTGAAGTGGACTAAAAAATGGATAGTTTAGAGAAGAAGCTGTTATCTTTCCATTCCGTTCACATAACGTATGTTCCGGAACAAGAAATCATTATTCCAGAGACTTCAAGGGAATATTGCTTAGGACAGGCAATCAATTGGCTTCTGTTGCCTGAGCCAAACAATAGCAGAAGCTATACACTAGCACATCTCTATGAAATGCATTAAAATGTTGAAAGCAAATACTGCATTTGGATTTGCGTGGGCCTGACTTAACTGCACTGGATGTTTTGCTGCACTAGTGCAGCAGTTGTGCATAGCCCATCTTGTAGCAGTGCTGTAAGACCCTTTTCATCTGATACTACCAATTTCCTGCAACAGAAGGGTGGGATATAAATCTACCTAAATAAATATCTGGGACCCATCACTTTTTGAGTCTCCTTCAGTGTAAATTGATGTGATTGCTCTTGCATTGAAACAGGCAGTTGGAGAATAAAGCCTCAATCAAACAAGAATTAATCTTAGCTGGTGACTCTCTTCTCATCCCCCTCAACCCCCACCCTGGCAATTGATTTTTGTCTATGATTCAGGTTGTTAGCCTATTGATGTTTAGTTAATTGAAGCTATAAGTTGCACTGAAATAATTGGTCTTGCTTCCAAGTAAATATCTTTGGGATCATGTTGTTGATCTTTCCCTCTAAGTTGACTTTAAATACAGGTGATGGTTGTATGCTATTTGTAAGTTTCCTTTTCCTTTCCCCAAACTGGGAAATTGTATTCTGAAAGATAATCTTCAAATGCCTTGCCTGAATCGAGAGCTGTATATAGATTTAAAAAGCGTTCTCTGTGCTAAGGATCTTTGAAAGGGAAGTGCTCTGATTTACAATTCAGGTAAAAAAGCCACACTTTAGTTAATTGAACCAATTAATATATTAATGCACTCAACCCTACTCTCTCTAGAATTGTTCAATTGGTTTATCTTGGCATTTAGCTTGGTGGGAATCGTGAATCCAATCAGCATTCACTTGTTTGGTATGGTAACGTATCCGTAAGTGGGTGGGAGAATTGCACATAATGTAGTTGAATGGATTCATAGTCTAGCTGTTAGTTTTGGACTAGGACCGTTCATAGTATAATGGTTAGTTTTGAACTAGGATCTTGACGATCAGGGTTCAAATCCCCACTTGCCAGTGACTGTCTTCCAGCCTAACCCACCTCACAAGATTGTTGTGAAGATGAAAAAGAGGGGAGGAGGAAAAACTCACGGAGAAAATGCAGGATCTAAATGTAATGAATGAATGAATATAAATATATACACAAATCCAAAACTTTTTTTTCTTCCTAACTCTTTTTAGAATAGATGTGCCATGCTTCACAGCAGCACTGGGTTAAAAAATAGAGATAATCTCTTGAAGAGCTGATGAATATTTATTCACTTTTAGAGATTTGTACCGTGCTGATCATCAAATTCCCAAGATGGCTTACGGAAAGGTCATATGACATTAAAACTAAAACAGGAAGACACCACTGTGTAGCTGGCAAAGTACAGTTGTAATGTGATCACAGCTCTCAGTCCCAGTTAATAGTGCTGGAGGTAGAACACAGCCATCATGACTATTAGCCTTACATCTCCATAAACTTGTCCCAAACTCAGCTAGCTTATCCAGAAGAATGCCATTTCAGAGGTCAAGAACCAACAGGATGTAACAAGTTAGGCAAAAAATACTTTCCATTCACGCTTTGCCAGGCTGCCAACTTTATTACAAAACTAAGACTCGTAGCTATAAATAAAAAGTTGGTTATTAACATAGTTTGCTTTGCACCTTTTCTTTCCTTGCTCTCCTTTTTGAGAATTTATAGGATCAACATCTTGGCACGCAGCCTTGCCATCCTAAGAACTAGAACCTCTTTTTCTGAGTGAAAACTCATATTCTCAAAGAGCTTGCTGATCACATGAGCACACTATTATGCCTGCAGGCTGTGTTAGCCATTTCATAATTGATTTATTAGTTTACTTATGATTGGCGTGTGAGATCGACATGATCCTTGTAAAGGACAGTGTACGAAGGGACTTTCAGCATTTAGCAGTTGTCTCGACTGGATTTCAAAGTGCAGCTTGATCTGGATTTTGTTCCTAGCTCAGCACTGATTTTTACACTTCCCATTCCGGGGTCTATCCACACACACCTTTTCTCTGCTCTTTCCAGGCACAGTCTGCATTTTATAGCTTCATGTGTGAGCATCCCCACTTTTTTTTTTGCTCCGGAGCCCTCCCCACAAAAACCCAAATTAACGTTTGTTCCAATTCAGCTTTAAATACTGTGTTTTCATGGGGGAAGATCCAGAGCAAAGAAAAAGGGTGCTCGGACAGGGAGCTTTAAAGTGCGGAAGTGTGGCTGGAAAGAGCAGGGCAAAAGATAAGCGTGGATAAACTCTCTCTCAGAAGCTTAGTTTCCTAGAAGAAAAATTCCTAGAAGAAAAATTGTCCTGTTTCTGACTGGTAAAAAATTACTTTTAGTTAATCTGAAGAAATGATCGTGGTATTCTGAATTATGAAGTACTTCCAGTAAACACTTGTCATTATCAAGTCAAACAGCATTTATAGGTGGAAAAATACACTTTGCTTATTGTTATAAGACTACTTTTCAGAAGAGACAGACTGTTATGCACGTCAGGGGAAGAAAGGATTGATAAATCTAACAGCACTTTTTTAAAAAAGCAATCAAGGAATTATAGAGTTGGAAGGGACCCTGAGAGTCAACTAGTTCAACCCCCTGCAATGCAGGAATCTTTGGTAATGCATGACTATTTTTGGAATAGAGGAGAAAGTGTTGGAAGCAGCTAACATCGCATAACGCTAAATTTCCAAAGTCTTGATGTTGATCCCTCTTGTCCCATCAATCCCCCTGATGAGCCATGTGTGGTCACTCAGACTCTCCTGCAAGGATATTCGTGGGCTGTAGTAATTGAAATTGATCCAATTCAGTTGGACCAGATGGTACTTTGTATGCCTCCTCAGCATGGTGTCGAATTGCATGCAAGTCCTGAGTGTCAAAGTGGCTTCTAAAAGTATCACCTCGGGCTTCCTTGCATGGCACTATTTTATGCTAAGCATGGTTGGCTCCATACCCAAAGTTGGACCTATTGCTAGATTGAAAGAGGGAGGAGTGTGTGAAGTTAATAAGCACTTTCAATCTAACTTTGGTTAGAAGATGAGACAGTCTTGCATATTAATTGGACCTCAGACAACTCTAAGATGAGCTGTTGTTATCCCTTCCTAAAAATGAAATTCAGTTGAGAACTATATTTAAATGTGTAGACTCCTCTTCTGCTATTTCATAATTTGCATCCTAAACACACTTATTAGGGAGTAAGCTCCACTGATCACAGTGGGACATGCATCTTGAGTAAGTATGCATATAGCATGGTAGGCTTCTCAAATGTTAAACTGTTGGGTGAACTTTAATCCAGTTTGTGCTAGGGTATATATGACATATCAGAATGGCCAGTATTGTGAAACAGCGGCAACATCTGCTGCCTACCTTAATTGAAATTCTTTCGCACTAAGAGATCTACATTTTTCCCTCTACTATAAATTTTAAAATGATTCTAGTTCTGCGATTTATTAATGAGCCATTGTTTCCAGCTTGGCTTGAATCTAATTCACTTTCATATGTAATGGATGATGTTACTTTAATATTTGCATGGGTTCCGTTAGCTCCTGCTGAAAGAGAAGTTATCCTCATTGTGGTGCAGTGAAAGCATCCATTATTGTTCCTGTAAACTACTCAAGCCGTGGGGCATGTCTTATGCTCGGTGATGGGCCCATTGATGGCACTCGATAACTGTTAGGAAACATTTGAAGTGAAATAAATATGAATTAGTGATTCATAGTTTGCCTTGCACTCTGCATCAAACATGGGTGTTGCCTCTGTCAGAGAATGATGCCTGACTTCTCTTGCCATGTAACTCACCTGCATCAAGATTAAGAAATCCCTTTTTTTATTGAATAAGCTTGGAAACAAGATAAATGTCCTTTTGCTTTTTGTGTGGGAAGTATTGGATATCTGTTTTCACAATGAGCCTTTTAAAAATCTCTCCTCGGTGCAACCAGGAGGAATGCGTTTATATCCTGAATATAAAAGCAATACAGTGGTGAAATATTCCTCCTTAATTTTGGTCAGAACGAACAAAAGTGTCTGTGTTTATTCCTGCCTAATGCATCACAAATCTGCTGACATGCTAACCTTGGAGTCTTGGTTGGCGTTAATCAGGCCTGTGCACCGGCAGGAAAGATGTACCTAATGCACTCCATCAGTGCAGTTTGCATATGGAAGTTCTCACAGGGGAGCTGCCCTGTGCCAGCTGAGGGTTACCTGCCCACTGCAGTTATTGTATGTAATTATCGAACCAATCTGTTCAGCCCAGCAGGGTTTAGATGGTAATCATGAAGCAACACTTTGGAAAGATGTAATGCACTCTCCCCTTCTCTCATCAGCTATGTGAGGTTGCAACCACTTCAGCAGCTATTTCAGTAAAGCTACACGTTTGTCAAACTTACCCCCCAAAAGCAGGCTGAACTTTCGCAGTTATTTTTATGCTTATGGGTGAAGATGTGTTTGTGTGTCTGGCAAAACGTACTGGCTTGTCGACATTCATTGCAAAAGGGGGGGGGGAGGAGGTGATGGGAAAAGAGAGACACCCGATTTATTTTAAAGTATTTTGCATGCTCTGTTGTTTTTAGAATATGTCTAACCTGATGTAACTTTGGTTGAGAACCAGGTCTTCCCGTAGGGTGATGTGGCAAGGGGGTGGGGAGAGATAAAGGAGAGACATTTTTTCAGGCTCAGTTCCCATGATGAGGAAGGAAGGAATCTGTCTCTTTCTGATCCGTGTCACTTGAACATGTTCCCCACACGATTAAGTTCTCTTTCTGCATTAATTTGCATTTAAAAAGAAAAGAAAGAAAGAAATCCTTACAAATATTAAATGTATGCATTTTCTCTCAAAACGTGTTCATAACACATACTTTGAATTAGCTGAGAACTGTGTCGTGCCATTTGGAGAAATGTGAAATCAGGTTCATAGCAAAGTTCCAATGCACATACTGTATTGGTCCGAGAGGTGCTCATTTTGTATAGCAGTTTGCAAAAATTAGAGTTCTTGTGCATTCCTAGCTGATGCTGTCCACATATTGTAAAAATTGTGTAGTTTGTCCCCTGTGATCTCAAAGACAAGAAACTTTAAAATAAACATTTGAGCTCAGTTACTCAGGAATCCCACAAAGTTCATTTTCTAGTCTGTGGCTGGCGGAATACCTTTGTCTCTGAATGCAATCCACATGCATTTTAATGATACAGCATTTGATGTATTATACCTCATGATTGCGACTACAACCTTGTTCTCCAACAGACTATGGGTTTGCATAGGAACCTCATTTAAAAAACCCCAAAAACTTTCAAAATGAGGGAATGAAAACCATGGTGTGTTAATTATGACAAAATACTATCCCTCTTATGGGCTTTTGATCTGGTTACTCACACAAGGGCAAAGATGGAGAAACATGCCAAACAGTTTACTACAGTGCACCATCATTTTGTGATTTAACTTGTCTGCATGCACTTTTCTGCTTTGTATAAAGTGTGGCTTTGTTTCTTGTTTTGTTTTGTTCGGGGACAGACGAAAAGAAAAGCAGCTGCTGCATCAGGGCCAGCCTCTGCTGATGAAGACAACGACGAAACAGCTGTAGAAGATGCGAAAAACATCAAAAGAAGAAGACGTGCTACCTCTAGTAAGTACCCCATTGGTATTTGTCATAGATCTTTCATTTTGCTGAAAATAAAAAAGCATTAAGTTTTGCAATAAATGTCACTCTTTTATACTGGGCAACCTGGGGAATGTAAGGTTGTCAGTTGTCTATCTGCAGCAAACGCGAAATATGCTTTTGGCCCAGCATATAAAACGGATGGTTGTGGTTGGTTGTAGTCCCCAGCCCCTTTCCCCACCTTTTATTTTCCTCTCTGTTCTCATTTTCATCCTCCCCTATCTTGTCCAATTCACTGTCAGGAAGTGCTCGCTCCCCAGGACCAATTCATCACAGCAGGTTACAGCCAGAGGCTAGCAGCAGCCGCCGCAGCCGCCGCCGTATTCAACAGTGAGTGGAGCTACTTTAAGAAAAGGGAGTTATCCAGATAGACTGAAAAAGAACCTTGGTGCTGCTTTGGCATAATTGGTAGCTTACGACCCAGGCTATGTGCAGCAGCAGAACTTTTGAAAGCAAGACTTGCCAGCCCTGTCAACCAAGATCTTTTTAGCAGGAAATGCCAGAGGTTAGATTTTGGAGCGCACACACCTTCCGCTACTGAGCCTATCCCTAAGAGACAGGCATCGGTGCAGGTGGTACTATTTCCAAGTGAAGATGCATGGTGTATGCATAACTCAATGGACTCGACTTCCACCCAGTCTGTTACTCTTATCCAGCCTGGTCTCGCCTGCTCTGGGACGGATGAAATCCATTGCTTGGTTTTTGTGTGTGTTTGGTTTTTTTAAAAAATTGTTTGGAACTTTTTATTTATTTTGAGCTTTTATTAACACGTGGAAACGTGTTAAGAGGAAAACCCAGCTTTAAAATGAATCTGTCACCTTCTGTTAAACATGAAACTGTTATAATTAAGTTGTTGATTGTTTAGCTTAATTTAGGGGTGGGGGTGGGTGGGTCAGAGAAGTGGATTTTTTTTAAAAAAAAGCTTTCAAAAACTTTCTGCTTGGTTATTTTTGGGGTGGCGGAGGTACTTCAGAGGAATGGAATTCCTCAATCCCCATATAAACTGACCCAGACTCTGTGATGGTTGTCTGAGGTCCTTTCTCGTGTGCCTCCTCCATGAGAGGTCCAGAGGGTGGCAACATGAGAACGGGCCTTTTCTGCAATGGATCCCTGTTGGTGGAATAACAACAACAACAACAACAACAACAACAACAACAACAACAACAAATCATATTATTTATAGCCTGCCCATCTGGCAGGGTTTCCTCAGCCACTCTGGGCAGCTCCCAACAGAATATTAAAAACACAATGAAACATCAGACATTAAAAACTTCCCTAAACAGTTCTGCCTTCAGATGCCTTCTAAAAGTCAGGTAGTTGTTTATTTCCTTGACATCTGATGGGAGGGCGCCATCAAGTGTGTGAAGTGAAGTTGTTTAGGGTGTGAAACATAGGCAAGGGAAGGATTTGACATTCCTCTCCACCCTGCTCCTGCTGTGCTTTAAACAGCCACCCCACTTGTCCTGCTTTATGGGAAATCAGTGTGAAGAATGTGTGGCTTCAGCATTTTCCACCTTTGCAATTAAGCGGTGTATAAATAAATCTATTAATAACAATGTCTTGGCCTTGAAGTTCTGCAAGTGTGTGAATTGCTAGCAGAGCGAAAGATTCATGAGCTTGTGCCTCTGGACCCTGCAAGAAGTAAGCAAGAAGGAAGAGAATTAATGAGGAAAAAGGAGAAACAGAGAGGTGACATGCAGAAAGAAGAATATGTATGCTCTGGGGTAGAGAGAGAATTAACAGAGAGGGGTTTAGAGAGGTTCTTTAGCAGTGTAGAAGGTAGAGACAGTACAAGGTCTAGGTTGCAGAGAAAAGGGGTCTAACGCACAGAAAACCTTTGTGAAAGAAAAATGCTTTTGCATGGTTAGTGTAGTGATATGGCCCTCTTGAGCTGGTAAATGTAAAGATGTCTCTCAAATTGACTGGCGTCCTCCTTTTACTACTTTGGAGTGGTGGTAATGGGGCAGGGGAGAGGAGAATTTAGATGGGGAGGGAATTTCCAAGTATGTCTTCCACTAGATTACCCTTGTCCACACGATGTACAGTACTTGAAACTATGTGAAACTTGCTTCTCTACATAACGGATGCAGCCTGTTTGTTAGCATATACTGCTCGTCCATACATGCAGCGGCTTGTATCCAGTTTGCCCAGCACTGAAGTCTTAACTTGCAAGTGTTCCATTTTTATGCTCCTGAGCGCACGTTCTTTCAGTGCCATTCCGCTTTTCAAGCCTGAATTGGGCCCTCAGTGTCCAGGGCCTCTAATCCATTATGAGCCTTTTTCAGTTAGAGACCCCACACACTATCTGGTCTGTTTTTTCCTGTTAAGCTGTTGGCTAATCTCTCAGTGTAGGATTTCCCAGCCGTATGATGTATATTTTCCATGGTGTTTCTCCAGCAATACAACTTTGCACAGCTGCAATTTCTTTATTTTCTGTTCCCAGTAACAAACCAATCATGTGGTGTTGAGAATTGGTCTTGGTACCCCATCTCCTGTTTTAAATTTCTTGAAATATGGCTGGCACTTCTCCCATGTATCCTTTTCAGATGTCTGAGGTTGCAGTGGGAATTTCAACATAAAAGTGTGTGGTGCTCCTTCTCAGGTCCAGCTATCCTTATTCCAGGATGCTGTGTTCCATTTCGCTTTCCCCTCAGTTTCCATTCCCTCCCTCCCAAGAGCCAATCGGCATTCCTTGTCTACCAAGCAAAGTCAGTCATCACTGGGCTCCTGCATTTGAGATCTCCCAGATTATTATTATTTTTTGTACTTCTGAACACCTTGGAGTTACTCCAAGCCTGCCGATGTCTCGTAATTTTGTGTGGATGGTGTCCTTTTGGCGACATGAGGATCCAACATCAGGATAAGGAGTTTGCTGTTAATATATGTGAGCTTGGCCTTCAATTGAGGTGGAGGCAATTGTTAGTGGGAAGTATAAGATTTTGACTTTTCATAGTGCATGTTTTATGTGTCAATAATTAATAATAATAATAATAATAATACAGTCGTATCTCCGGTTTGGACCACAAAGAAGGCCAAATAGTTGATGCTTTTGAATTATGGTGCTGGAGGAGACTCTTGAGAGTCCCATGGACTGCAAGAAGATCAAACCTATCCATTCTGAAGGAAATCAGCCCTGAGTGCTCACTGGAAGGACAGATCCTGAAGCTGAGGCTCCAGTACTTTGGCCACCTCATGAGAAGAGAAGACTCCCTGGAAAAGACCCTGATGTTGGGAAAGATGGAGGGCACAAGGAGAAGGGGACGACAGAGGACAAGATGGTTGGACAGTGTTCTCGAAGCTACCAACATGAGTTTGACCAAATTGCGGGAGGCAGTGGAAGACAGAAGTGCCTGGTGTGCTGTGGTCCATGGGGTCACGAAGAGTTGGACATGACTAAACGACTAAACAACAACAACAACACCTCCGGTTACGAACTAAATCCGTTCTGGACGTCCGTTCGTAACCGGAAACTGTTCTTAACCTGAGGCGCGCTTTCAGCAATGGGGCGTCCCGCTGCATGCTCGCCTCTGGCGCACAATTTCCACTTGCATCCTGGGGCAAAGGTCGCAACCAGGAGCAGCTACTTCCAGGTTAGCGGAGCCCATAACCCGAGACATATGCAACCAGAAGCATTCGTAACCAGAGGTACCATTGTAGTTTTATTATTTATACCCCACCCATCTAGCTCGGTTTCCCCAGCCACTCTGGGTGGCTTACAACACATATAAAAACATAATAAATAGCTGAGATTGTAGAATTGTAGAGTTAGAAGAGATTCCAAGGGTCATCTAGTCCAACCCCCTGAAATGCAAGAATCTCAGCTAAAGCATCCATGACAGATGGCCATCCAACCTTTGCTTAAAAAACTCCAAGGAAGAAGAGTCCACAACTTTCTGAGGGAGACCGTTCCAGCTCTTACTAGATACTAGAGATGTTTGCCTACTGCTCCCTAGTTAAAGCTGCATGAGTGTTTGTATGCTTCTTTTATCTTTTTTTTTTGTACTGAGAAACATTAGTTGTTTCTGGACCTTGCCTTCTGTGTCCTCCTTAGAAATATAAAATCTCCCCAATTCATTTCCCTTGTTTAAGTTTCACTGTTGGATGTGAAGCTGATTTGCTCATTTTCGAGCAAGTTTGGATATGAGGATGATAGGAGTAGCAGAAGGGAGAACTGACTGCACTCTACTTAACTGGCACATGGATCTCATTTGCAGTCATATTTGTGCCCTGAAAAGTCTTGGAATACACAGATCAGATCTGACAGCAGGCAAGGTGAGAGATCTCTGTGTTTTCAAAGTGATTTAGACAATGGAATATCAGTGAAAACAACCAATGCAAGAATCACCTCTGCTCCTTCTTTACCTGCTAAGGCACCACTATCCAAAACAGCCCTTGCTTTACCCCAAATGTATTTCCCGTACTGGAGCATCAATTTCTCACAGAGAGGGACTTACATGCTTGCAAATATATATTGAGGATTCATTGTCGTTAGCCAAACACCTCTTTTCTCCCTGCCCTACCTGCAACTCAGTTTTCTAAACAGTCGTGGGGTATTTTTATTGATCTCTGAAGACATAAGACGAGCGGCTGGGAGGGAAGGGGTGCTGTAACAACAGCAAATAAAGAACTCTGTGTGTGAACACCTATCTATACAGCTGCAGGTCCGTGGCTGTGGATCTGCTGTGAGACCATTCTACATGCATTTACAGTGTTATCACCAATATTACAGTACAGGAGCATACATGGAAAGTATTCATTTTAGAGGTGGGGTTCATGCAAAGATAGGGGGCTAACCTGAGGCACCTCCCTCCTCACTTGAAGCCGGAATATATTTCTTTCCCACCTTTTTATCCTTCCCCTCCCTAACCCCTGGGCCTTGGCAGCTCCTGTGGATGCTTGGGGAAATGCTCTTGGTGTCAGGACTGTAGGAAGTGAATGCTCCCCAAACACTGGACTCAGGAATAGAGGAAAGGACCCGTTGTGTGCCTAAGAGCTGCCTTCACATAGTCCTCTCCTTTGGCAGTGTAGACACACAGGGATCACTATCTAGGAATCTTAACAGGGGCCAGATGAAATCGCATAGAAGACTAGGTACTGCCCATAGGCTGCCATTTCAGACTAGTTAGTTTGTATAGCTCAAAATATTATAAACTACTTATACGATTTTTACTGCTATAAATTAATTTTGTGGGGTTCAAGAGTGTCCTAAAGCTGATGTGAGCAGGTTGGGTTTCCTTTCCTTTTTTCTTTTTTAAATGTCTGGTCTAAATGAGTAGCAAATTCACGTGGATTTTCCTTTGTTAATATAAAACGTTCTGATTGTATCCTGACCACCTTACCGTAGTCGTTATTGCTAACCTCTAAATTGTTTCTGTTTTTAACAACTGTAGAGGCAGGAGCCACGAAACCCAAGGCACTGAAGACCGCTCCCAAAGCCAAGAAAACCTTGACCCCCAGGAAGAGGACCCAGAAATAGGAAAGTCTAAATGATGAGTGCTTGCTGCTTTTTACTAGTTACTGTTCTTTTTCCAGTAATCATGGGCTTTTCCCTTTTTCTGTATGTGTTTAGCCTATAGGCAGTCACAATGCGGCACTGCATTATGTAGCTGAAACTGGAAAAGGGGTATTTTAAGTTTTTTATGTACAGTTTTAATACTAGTACAGAAGTTTTCAAAAATCTTGAATGGCTGTTTTTGCACCTGCTCATTTAACTGTTTAGTTTATGTCAAACTTGAATAAAAATAAAGTCCCAATTCTGGTCTCTGTTTAAATGAAACCTGAGGCTGAAGTGGAAGTGTGTTCGGGTGCAAGCTGTGTTGGGATCCAGGTGCTGTACATGCAAGATAAATGTGCTTCCGACTGGGGTGCGATTGCAATTGCTAGCTCAAGAAAAGACTGGCAATATGCATTTATTTAGGGTAACTTATGTGCTGCTGTTCACAGAAAACAAGAACAAAAATACAGAGGTCAAAACTGCAACCCGTAAAACAAACAGAAGCACCAACTAGCACCTCCCACGCACGGTAAAAAACCAAAACAAACTAAAAAATAAATAAATTGGAAGAACTGATAAATTTATTTTTGGAGGAGGAGTTATTGTTTGGCTTGTTATGTTTTGTGGTTTTTATATTGTAAACTGCCCCATGTTCCTCTGATGAAGGGTGGTACAACAACAACAACAGCGTCCCACTAAGGCCCCATCTGCACCATACATTTAAAGCAGTATCATACCACATTTAGTGGTTATGGCTGCCACTACAAGACGCTGGACACTGCAGTTATGGGGGCTGAGAGTGGTTAGCAGACCCCTATTCCCCTCACAGAGAAACAGTTCTCAAGGTGGTTTAGGAGTCAATCCCTCTTGCAAGGGAACTCTGATTCTGGCCCTCTGATTTTAACCCTTCCCCAGCTCTTATTCTCCTTGGGTGTTTTCTCCTGGCTGGAATGTACCCTTGATCTCCGTTGGTGCCTCGGGGTTTCCTGTGTGTGTGTCTAAACAAGCCTACTGGGCAAAGAAAAAATTCTCAGCTCTTCTGCCATTTTTGCCTCTGGCCCTGCACAACACTGGCATGTGGCCCCTGGAAGATTACTCAGGTGGGAATGCAGCGCGCAGTCTCAGAAAGGTTCCCTGCGCCTGATGTACATACTTACATGGCTAGGGCTATACTAGCAGCAGGTTTGACAAATCTGTGCTGAAGGAGTTTACAGTTTAAGCCACAGAAGAAGTTTGTGGGGTGGGGAGCAGACCAAGGCCAGAATGAACAGGAAGGATATGCAGTCATTTTAATCCCAGGCACTTTAGTTTGGTCCATTTTGGTATTGGTTCTTCCTATGCGTCCCTGGAAAGGCCGAAGTCCAGGAACGGAGCTGAAGGAATTAAAGGAGCTTGTTTGCATGAAAGTGTCTCTTGGAAGCAGTTCCAGGCCAAAGGGGCAGCAAGAGAGTGAGGACTGACATTCGGGCGCAGGGCTTGGAGTGACTTGAGGATGGCAGAACTGACCAAGTTTCCAAAAATGTCCTCAGATCCAAGAGTGGAGAGATGGAGGGAGATAAGACAATTGGGGGGGGGGGTGTTGGAAAGCAAGAAGTTTGTTTGCCCAACGAAAACCCCACGGCGTTAAGGAGAGGCGTTCCTTAGGAACTGCTGCCTGGTGTTTTAAAGAACCAGGGAGAAGATAGGAAGCGCATTGCTATGACGACATGGTTAAAAAGTATTGCCCTATCCTGTTGTCTGTAGGGTGGGAGGGAGCAGAAGGAGGGTGGCAGCACTTGGGGCGTCCTGATTTGAATGTAAAGACCCTTACACAAAGGAAGCAAGCTTCCTTATAGACTGCATTTACTGCTCTTGATGACTCCAGTTGTGTGTAAATATTAGAAAACAGCAGGGTCCTGCATTCCAAGAATCACTTGAGCACTGCCATGAAGACAAGAGTCCTTACCGGTATTGTAGTCATACTCCCGAGCTCTCCTGCTGTTTCTAATCTGTGCGCACAGCCGTGAAAAAACCGGACTGACATTTACAGGCACAGCAGGGAGACACTTGAGTCGGGAATGTTAAAGACTCCACTACCTACGTGGGGTTCCCCCTCCCCCATCTTCTCTCCCCCACCCCTTTCAAAGTAGCCACCATACATGATAAATCTTCACAGGAGAACTAGTATGCACTTCAGCTGATGGTGTAATGAGGGTATTGATAATGAATCGTACAACACTTCGTGGTGCCAAAACATTCAGCAGGCAGATCCTTGTGTACTTTGGTCCCCTCCCTCTCTAATCTAAAATATCTGGAGGGGAGACTTTGATTTAATTATAGGCATAAGGAGTTGGGTTCTGTCCTTTCCCTCTCTCTCTCTTAAAAAAACACCCCCACCCCCAAAATACTCTGCTGGTTTGATGGTTTCATTTTCTCTCTCTCTTTGCTCCCATTCCCCCAGTAATAATTCTTAAAGGAGTGTGTGTATATATAATCTCTTAAGAATCTGACAGCCCAGAATTGAATAGCTTTGGCAGCCCACCCCTGCCGATATGCTAACATGGTTTGCCCCCAAAAGCTGCCAGATTTGGGATGCCATAACACCAGTAATATAATTAAGGGTTGGGTTTTTTTTGGTGGTGGTGGTAGTGGGGAGGGGGGTTTACATTGTCTGCTTGACTTCTCAGTTAAGAATTCCGCTTCCCTTTGGGAATAAGACTAGACAGACTGTCATTTGCTATTACTAATTCTGCTTAGCATTATCACCGGAGCTCTTTTTCTTTCTCTCTCTTATTTTTTTTTTGTAATTAGCTGTCTTAGTTGGCTCTTAAATTTTAATAGCCAATTGAAGCTACGTTTTAGCCAAGTTCCATATCTAAATTGTATTCAGTCCATTAAGAAAGTTGGTTAAAAGGCTATTAAAGCAAAAAGGCAATATATGGCAGCCAGTGCTTATGTTTGCAGCTCTCGCAATGCCAGACTTCAGTAGAAATTTTGGAAGGGATGCCTTCCACGTTGCTCTGAGTGGGAAACGCATAGAGGCCAAATTCTCACCACATGTCTAAAGCACTATTATACCATTTTAAGCAGTCATGGTTTCCCCCAAAGAATCCTGGGAACGATCGTTGGCTGAGGGTCCTGAGAGTTTTTAGTAGATCACAGAGCTACAGTTCCCTGGTAGGAGGGCTTGATCATTAAACCACCCTGGGAATTGTAGCTCTGTGAGGGGAATAGCGTTCTCTACCAACTCTCTGCATCCTTAACAAACTACAGTTCCCAGAATTCTTTGCAGGAAGGCCATGATTGCAAAAGAGGTATAATAGTGCTTTAAATATATGCTGCAGATGTGGCCAGAGAGTCCTCAAGCTTAGTCTGTAATCCCATGCATATGTAACTGGGAGTAAGTCCCAATAAACACAGTGGAGCTTGCTTGCAAATATAAGCATGCAAAGCATTGCATGGAGAAGTGAATGGAGAAGACCTTGTCATATAATGTAAAAAGGTAAAGGACCCCTGGATGGTTAAGTCCAGTCAAAGGCGATTCATCTCGCTTTTAGGCCAAGGGAGCCGGCGTTTGTCCACAGACAGCTTTCCAGGTCATGTGGCCAGCATGACTAAACCACTTCTGGTGCATGGAGGACCATGACAAGTGCCAGAGCGCACAAAAACACCGTTTACCTTTCCGCTGCAGTGGTACCTATTTATCTACTTGCATTGGCATGCTTTCGAACTGCTAGGTTGGCAGGAGCTGGGACAGAGCAACGGGAGCTCACCCCATTGCGGGGATTTGAACAGCCGACCTTCTGATCAGCAAGCCTAAGAGGCTCCGTGGTTTAGACCACAGCACCACCCGTGTCCCCATAAGCATGCAAAGGATTGCACTGTTAGTTTTGGAAACCAAAGATATTCAGAGATGGGGGGAGGGATGGAGGGAGAGGGAGAGAGGGGGGCAGCAGCTGAGGTGGAGGTGTCAAGGCTCTACTAGCTAATTCTCCACTTGGAGTCTTGTTTTGATTTTATTATTTATTTTTTAATCAGAGGAATGATGGTTTTTCCTCTGTTTCATGTAGTTGATCAAAATGGTTAGCACAAGCATCCGAAGCACCTTCTGGTGGGACGGTAAATCTTGCAGAGATTACTTTGCAAAACACCCTGCCAGGAAGCCAAAGAGGAAGCCTATACCAGCTTGCAGTCAGCGGATGCAGCTTCCTTAATTAAAGACCTCTGTCCCAACTGAGGCAACTCTAGACAATGGGAGCATCCAGCCAGTTCAGCGGTGCATGGATGTGCATCATAATGCAGCGTCTTTTTCAGCTGTGCCCAGAAGTCCTTCTGCACATGGCTGCCGCTTTGGCAGACCAGGGCATTTGGGTTTTGTTCTGGAGGCCATTCCTTTGCATCAGGGTAGGGGAACCTGAGGCCCTGCAGATGTTGTGCTGCAACTGCCATTATGTGTGACTGATGGCCCTGCTGGCTGCGATCGATGGGAGCAGGAGTCCAACAACATCTGGAGGGCCACAGTTCACGCACTCCTGCTTCACAGTCTTTTCTCCCCTGCTTCATCCACTGCTAATGACATGTGAGAAATGGATTGGAAATCAGTGCAATCTTAATCAATAGAATTTATGCCCCAGTAAATATGTTTATGGTCATGATCCTAGGGCTGACCCATTTCAAATGCCCTGTGCGAGAGAGGGGGGAGGAAAGGGATCCCCATCTTCATCTGCTATATTATTTGCCCCTTCCTTGCCTTTTTTGTTTTCTTGAAAGAAGAAATACTCCCTAGCTCATATGAACGTAAGAGCCTATGAGGTCAGGCCAATCGACCATCTAATCATCCATCTGTTCTCACCATGGGTGACCAGGGGGTGAAGTCAAACAGCTGCATTAGCCTGGGCAGTGTATATGGAGGTCCTGGGCTGCCCAGATGACAAGACCTGCTTCTTGGCCTCTCTAATGTGGTTCAAAGGAAAGCAAAGTTGGGTGCAGGTGTTGCTTGCAGG